TAGTAGAACTGAAAAAAAACATCCCTGCTGAACTTCTTCAATACAAGGCTCACAACTTATCAATCAGCCCTCGTACCAAAAAATCTGAAACAAAGGAGGAGTGCCAATTTGGGCCTTCTGGCGGCCATGACCGATATTTTTTATTTCTTGTGTAGGAATTCCTTGGGGTTAGGCGGTCATGATATGACATAAAATTAAGGTCAGATCTGAGCCATTAATTAGTTATGGGGGGGGGGGGTAAAGTGGGGGGTAAAATTCATAAACAGCTCCATTATGACAAACCTACATTATATTTTTGGATTTTTTCTTCTTAATTTTCATGTAATAATCCATATCAAAACATTCATTAGTAAAATTGATTGAAAAAAATATTCCATTGTTGAAAAGTAGGTCATGGTAATTAAGCTCATTAATTGCTAATTATATTAAAGATGAACTTAATTTTCTGCCTTAATGCACATAAAAACAATACCTTTATCATGTGTCATGCTTTAGTAAGATTTATTTTTGAATACTTTATAGAAAATGGAGAATTAATTAATGGGAGGGGGCGGGTTCACACTTTTGACAACTTTTGATTGATATCAGAGTTGTCTTATGTAATTATATTAGATAATAAATATCTAATAAATAAATGTTAAATTGTACTGCATTAAGAACTGTTTAAAATAAATTGCTTGATAAATGTAGAGATATTTAAACCAGTTTGGTACGGCTGGTTGAGCTTTAAGCTAAAATGGCGGGATATAATGCCATCCCCTGACATATACCTTGTTAAGGATCTTTGTGTCTACCGGTGAGTATACATGTGCACATTGTCTCAGACAGTTCATATACCCTTATATATACAATTAATACGTGGCAACTACACTTCACAACCTCAGCGATTTTAGTATACTTTCTTGGTTTGACTGTCACTGATATTGTACATATAATTTAGACATATAATTGTAATTCAACTGTTGTTCATAATTTTGTTCATCCAAATTAAGGTTTTAATAAGGAGTGTTTTCTAAGTTTATGCCCTGTTTTCTTTTCTTTTATCAATATGCCAGTGCACAGGCAGTGCGCTTGTTGTAAAGCACAATATAAAGTAAGGCTCTGTTGTCTGAATAAAACAGACATTCTGTCTTACTTGAAAGCAAATATTAATGATGCCTTAAGGTTTGGTGACCCCGTATGTAAAAAATGCAGGGGAAGATACTACAATCACCATTCATCTACTGAACATCCTAGTAGCGATGTAGAGCACCAGCTTGAGTCACCTGAAAACAAAAAAAATCAAACTTGACATTCCACGGGCTACATTAGGTGAATCTCGATGTTTCATTTGTAAAATGTTAAGAGAGGAATGTAAAAGTAAAATGGTAATGCTCTCAACAGAAATGCGAGTAAAGATTTTTATTAAGACAGGTATCCTTGTCCCAAACACCTGCAGATGTTGTTCTTCCCACATAGTGAATGGTGATTTCCCATCTGATAGTCTATCTTCACTCGCATATTCCAGCAAAGACACTGAACTGGATTCTTCTGAAATATCAGAGATCCTTTTGACACTTAGGGCAGCTGCTTCAAAGAAAAGTTGTTTACACTTTGATTCCTCAGATGGATTAACTGATCAAGATTACTACCGTCTCACAGGTCTGTATAAAAATCAATTTTCTGACCTTTTACGATCAGTTAATCCCTCTCTTTACTCTACACTGAACAGAAGCGCAAGGACTGCATTAGCCATCCTGCTTGTAAAGTTGAGGACTGGCATGTCTTTATCAATATTAGCTTCTCTGTTCAACATGACAAAGAGAATATGTGGAAAATGTATTCATTCAGCTCGCCAAGCATTGATGACCCACTTCGTTCCTTCACACCTTGGCCTGCAACACATCACTAGAGAACAAGTAATTCAAAACCATACAACGGTATTTGCAAGGAAGATGTTTGCCTCTGGTGAAGATGTCGCTATAGCTGTTGCTGATGGCACATATATTTATGTTGAAAAGTCCAGCAACTATACTTTCCAACGACGCTCTTTTTCGATGCACAAAGGACGCCCTCTCCTGAAACCAATGCTTCTTGTGGCCTCAGATGGCTATATACTGTCTGTCCTAGGCCCATATTTAGCAGACGGTCGAAATAATGACGCCAACATTACAAAACACATGTTGCAAACTAACACTGAGAACATCAAGGATTGGTTTCAAGATGATGATATTCTTGTCGTTGACAGAGGCTTCAGAGATGTGACAGAACTGTTGAATGATGCTGGCATCAAAACAGAAATGCCATTTTTCTTGCCAAAGGGGCAGAAACAACACACACACATACTGAGGCAAACGAATCTTGTCTTGTAACAAAGGTAAGGTGGGTTGTGGAGTCGGCAAATGGGCGGATTAAGCAGTGGAAGACCTTGGGAAATGTTTTGCCCAACACTCTCATTCCAGTTGTAGGTGATTTTGTGAGAATTGTGTGTGCAATTTGTAATGCTTTTCGCCCCCCCCCCCCCCCCCCCCCCCCCCCACTTGCCTCTGATTCTCCCAATGACCTCATCATTGCTGAGCGAATGTTGGCTCTGTCAAAATGTCCCAATAAATTGCAAATTCAAGTTGAAAAAGAAGGTTTGGCTAGGAAAAGAGCCATATGGGTCAAGCTTGATGAGGCCAGTTTGCCTGACTTTCCTCAGCTGACAGAACCGGAGTTGAGAGATCTTACCATGGGAGTATATCAGTTGAAGCAGGCAAAGTCATATACCATGGAGCACTTGTCTGAAGATGGCCAGTATTAATTAATGGCATGCAGGGAAAAGCCTGGCTTAATTAAAGTTCAGATTCGTTCCAGACATGTTGCTTCGAAACTGTACAACCTGTGGATTGAGTATTTCCCTGGTTTGACTCCTATATCTGGTTGGTATTGGCAGTGTAAGGTTGGTGCCAGGGTAGTGGGCTGCTGTGCCCATATTGCATCTGTTCTCTGGTACCTTTCTTATGAGCGACACCAGCCTAGGATAGCACACCCAACTGCCTCATCAAGCTACCTCAGCTGTGCTGATGACGCAATGATGATTGAGGACTGGTCTGAGTCTGACAGTGACAATGAGTAACTAACTATGTGTACGACCATTGTATGTATAGTGGAGTGAAATGCAACACTAGAGGTTAACATTGATATCTTTCATTAGCCATTTCTGTGTTAATACTTCGGTAAAACCACTAGATACAGACATATGGTCAAAGTTGTCGAACTAAAATTCAAAGCACCGCCTCTTCTTTGTTTTCTTTAAAGTATGCAAAAATATTTCTTATTAAAACATGGTACATGATAAAGGTGTTGTTTTTATGTACATTAAGGCAGAAAATTAAGTTCATCTTTAATATAATTAGCAATTAATGAGCTTAATTACCATGACCTACTTTTCAACAATGGAATATTTTTTTCAATCAATTTTACTAATGAATGTTTTGATATGGATTATTACATGAAAATTAAGAAGAAAAAATCCAAAAATATAATGTAGGTTTGTCATAATGGAGCTGTTTATGAATTTTAACCCCCACTTTACCCCCCCCCCCCCCCATAGCTAATGAATGGCTCAGATCTGACCTTAATTTTATGTCATATCATGACCGCCTAACCCCAAGGAATTCCTACACAAGAAATAAAAAATATCGGTCATGGCCGCCAGAAGGCCCAAATTGGCACTCCTCCTTTGCTAAAAATAACTGAGGGCATAGTCGGACAATCTGGAATAACTTCAGTAAATGGCCATAACTTCCATAAAATGGGCCGAAAGGAAACCTCATTCAAGTGCATTAGGTCACACTGTTACAGAGAAAGTTTGAGAAGATTTGATGACAAACAAGTGAATAGCAAAATAAATCCTCTCTACAGACGGACAAACAGACAAAGAGGACGGACGGTCAAACTAATTTCAGTTTACCCCTATCATTTTTAAGTCTCATAATGGCGGAGGTTGAGTTGCAGTAAATTTGCAAGTTATAACAAACTGGCACATTTGATTGGTGTGTTTTAAATAGCTGTCCCTTCTCTCAGCAAGGAAGTATTTAAAAAAACATGACTGATAAAAGGGGAAATACTAGGTCAGACATTGTCTATGTAAAGTAGAAACTCAAAGGCCAATTTCCTACCGGAAATCCCGGCAATTATAGATTTTCCAAAACAGAATACGTGCTGGAGGTCCTCTAGTTACATCTCTGATTGTAGAGTGGTTTAAGTCACTCTGAGTGGATTTCGATACGGTAACCGTGTCCTAGTTCTGAATCTCCATTTGAATGATGAAAACTATACGGAAATTACCTGAAAAGATAGTCCTTAAAGAGTAGGAATTTCGTGGTAGTTTATCCTGTTCAATCACCCCTTTCAACACGTAACCAACACAATCTTTTTTAATACTATATATCGACGGTATAATATTTTCTACATATTAACTAAATCTTCTTGAATTTATTTAAAGTTGAGTCTTGTTATGTATGTAATTTACGAGATTCCTATAAAACACGTTTTATTGTTTTTCCTGAAGTCGGTATGTTGCATTCTTGTCATACTTTTATTTTTGATTAAATAGATGTAAATATATGCTGAAAAATTAAAATATGTATATTTGTCTCGGTTATTTCGTTGTGCGTATCGATAAAAAAAAACTTTTGTGTGTGTGTGTGTTTTTTTTTTTTTGTTTTTTGTTTTTTACATCTGGGTTACAGAGATTTAACTGACTCCAATAGTATTCACATGTTTTATCTCAATAAAAAATAATGTCAAATATCTTTTTTTAGTAACTAAAAAAACTTGTTATATTCCATTTGTACCAGTGTTCTTTGCAAGCATTTTCATTTGGTAATGGTCCAAGGGAGGCAACCTGATTTTCGAGGTAATTACGAAACAGCGGAACTTTGAAAATAAACCAACTTTACATGTGAAAGCTACTTCCGGAGCAAAGACAGTCGAAAATGTGAAGTTGTCAGTGAAAGTTCCTTTCCAGTCCATAAATTACGTTGCAATGATTTCATGATGCAACTGCATTCAATCTGATAAAATCAGTGTATTTCATGATCACATTTGATGTGAAGGAATAATAATGACCGAGGAATTGTTTGTGATAGCCGACCTGGGAGTTGTCGATAGAGTGACGCAGTGAGAGACATGACTAATAATAATAGTGCATGGAATTCTAGGAAGCGCTTAGCGCGAATTCGATGTTTATTCGAATCTATTCGATGTTTCAGTGAAGGCAAGCCTCTTCCAGAATGTTTGTGTTACATTCCAGCCGAAGTTGAATACCAGACTCAACATAGAAGTGTTGTAAAGCTGTATCAAGATGTGCAAAAAAGCAGCAAAAAAGTGGGAGAAATTGTATTGACTAATGAATCTAGATTAGTAGTTAGTGGTGAAGAGTATTGTAATTCTCAAGGGAAATGGCTGAAAGTGAGAAAGGTAACTCGAATTGTTAAACAATTGAATAAACAATCGAAGAATGATAGGATTTGAACAGTGGTGTACCTGTAAAGGTAACACGTATATCAGTAAAGGAAAAAAAAGTTGTTTGATATCGAATGTCACCTTATCATGATCTTAGCAGATAAAGCTTGTAATCTATGTTGGATCAGATTGTTAGTTGGTGACCATATTTGCTGTAAATTGCATACCTGTCCAGGTATTTCATACCTGTACATGGAGTTCATAGTCTTCATCTTATACTGTTTTTGGTATTCAGTATTGTGCATGAAAGGTGGTAAAGGGACAGATGTGTTTTGTTTGCTTGTTTTTATTTTTTGAGAGTCATAAACTTTGTTCATGAAACTTAGGTCAATAGTGAGTGATGTGATGTAGGTACCTTTGACTGAAAATTTATGTCTCTAAAATGATAATTCAGTGTCAGTATTCATGTTTATTATGCTGTTATTGATATTTAAATTTTATTGACTATGTGCTCATTTTAGAGACAGAATGGAGATGTTCATAGATAAAAGTTGTAGAAATGCATCCACCATGGATGTGGTGAATCTAACAATTATTCCTGAATTGTACATAGAAATCAAAAGAAAAGCAAGTTTATTTGCCTACCAATCTTTTCAGACCTTATAGTTTGCTTATTTTAAGCCGTTGCAGTGTGATTTTTTTTTCTCTATTTTCTTTTGATCTGTAAGTCTCTGCTTAGGAATTCAATTGCATCGCCATTACCAGCTGTACTAATAACAGAATGGCACTTCCCAGTACTACCTGGAAACAGCCCAATTTTAATTTTCAATGCAATTTTCAAAGAAGCGCTCAGTGAACATCTCTCTCCTATCTAATCCACATTAAGCTAATTATTAAAAATGATTTTTTTTTTTTTGCCTGCCTACCTACCTTAATATTTTCAAATATGTTACAGGAAACACATATCATTTTTTCTGCCTTCAGTTAAACAAATTCATTCTTAAATAATTATCTGTAATACTGTGACAACTGATCCATGTACTTGTATATTTTCTTCGATCAATTTCAATTAATTAATCAATTTATGCCAAATAATCAATTAAGGGATTCTGAAATAGAATATTTTTCCTATATGTAATTATGTTCACAATTACACCATATGCTATTTTTGCAGTTCAAAAGTTGTCCGTCCAGTGAGTTTGTGACTTATGAAAATGATGCCTGGCTGCTCCAGTACAGCAGTAAGTCGGCCACAGATGATCCAGCTCTACAAATCATCCCCTGCAATAACCTTGATCATAGCCGAAAACGATCAGACAGGTGAGAAAAAGATATATCTTATAGTCTTCAAGCTTACATATACATGATAGTTTTTGTTGTTATATGTATGATGAAAAAATAATCATGGTTACAGTACATTTAATATCATAATTTGTACCTGTAGCTGATTCACAATAAATGTACAGTGAACTCCACATGAGATGGAGTTGACCATCATTTTTTCTTGTATATCAGTTTCTTGGTATAGAGGATTGAACCCAACACATCAAGGGAGACAATACCAACTAACACTTTATAGTAGAGATATCAAAAAATAAATACAAGGAAGTCAGGAATCTGTTTAACTGATGTGTTTTTGCACTTAGGCACAATAAAATAAATTATTGTTGGAAAATCTGATAAAACCAAACCATTGAAAGCACCAAAATTTTTAAACCCTAATCCAATGGCAAATTCTTATGCTTTGGCTTTTAAATCAAGGAATCCAACAATATAATCAATTATGCCATCCTCAATTTCTGATTTTCTTTTTAAAATTCAGGGGTTTTGCAATAGTACTTAAAGTACTAGTCTAGAGGTTATATCCATATTCTATTGCTATAATATCTATCACTCTCAATCCCTTTTCAATTTCCTCTTTCTTTGAGTTGAAATCATAGTTAATATTCTGTAGCTGTAAGTTTTATATATACTCTCTTACACAAGTAACTTGTACCATGTCACCATGTTAAGAAAGCCTAAGTGAGTACCTGTATGAAAATTCATTATATATAGGTAAAGTTGATTGGGTTCTTGAACAGGACAATGAAAATCATCCCTTAATACACAATATCTCTGTAAAGGTGTTCCAGTTGTTTCAGGGACACAAAGACAAAGAAGGAGGTACACAAATACATTTTGTTTGTCTCATGCTTGATTATAGGAAATATACAAAGTCATTCAGGGACATTAGTACATTTGTATGTGTCATGCTTGATTAGAGGAAATAGACCTAGTCATTCAGGGACATTAGTACATTTGTATGTGTCATGCTTGATTAGAGGAAATAGACCTAGTCATTCAGGTACACAAATTGTGTGCTTAAATGTAATAACAGTGTATTGAAATTGGACCGGTCTTGATTTAGCAAGTTAAGAAATAAACTGCATTAAATTACCATTTTTGAGTAACTGTACATGTAGTGCCTGTGTATACATTTACAACCTGAATTAGTTCATATTTATTAACATTTTTTTTCCAATACATGTTTTACTCTTGCATCAGTCATTTTTAGTAACAAATCTTATTCCCTTCCTGCTTCAGTCTTAATTTCATCAATAATGTATATCATATTTAGCTGGGAAGATGCAGTTGAGCAGCACTTTGCAGGCCAGTTCCTTACTCATCGAGTGCAACTCACCGACAGTGATCAGTCAGCCATGTCACGTCTGATGGAAATTCCAGCTGGCTGGACACTGGAGGGAGACGAAGAGCTGGTCAGACTTATGTCTCAGCACATCCCACCTGACAATGACCACTTGGGCAGCATCAAAAGTTTTGTTGAATCAGTAGACGTGTCATCCTGTTGTGTAAGTATTGGTTACTGAATAGATTTACTACCATATCTGTAATAAATCGTGTTCAGACATCTTTATATGTTTACTATGAAGATCTTCAGATTTCTTTACTCTCTGATTCTCATCTTGTGAAAAATAACTGAAGATAACTTCACCTGACACTTGTTGATAATAAAACATATGTCTGGTAGGTCATCAGGCAGAACAACAATTACAGAGTCCTTTACAGTAAATATATACATCATTTCAGGTATAAATAGGCCTGTAGCACTCCAGATAATTTGATTGTCTTTCATTTAGTCGTAGTGATGGCTGGCTTTGCCAGCTGAAACATTGTACCTTGTAGACCAAACAAATAAAGATGGCCATGTCATTATTGAATATTTGGGTTTAAATTTCCTTTTTTGTTTATGTTTATATTTACTTGGTGAGAAACTGAACTCGATGAGGTGTTCTCTCATAAAAACCATAATCTTCTACACATAGTATTGGATTGCCACTGAACTCTATGAATTCAATGAAAACCATTTTAATGAATAATTACTACATTTCATCAAAATGGTATACTTTTCAAATTGTTTCATTGGTCTGTGCCTTCCACAGACAGGATGTAATGTATGTCAATTATATCTGTTGTGTAATACCAGGTACTAAACACAAGGGGAGACTTGTGTTACGGTCTTATTTTATCTTTTTATGGAAGAGATAGAAAAATGATCATTTTTAACTGCTGAATTGATGAAGTGTTCAGTAATAAACCTTAAACTTTAGGATGATGAGGCTGGTCCATCTTGTCTGACTGATGCTGACCCTGATACCTACTGGGAGAGTGATGGTAGTCAAGGTAACCACTGGATCCTTCTCAAGATGAAAAAAGGAACTGTAATTTTGTAAGTTGTAATCACATGTCAGTTTATGTCCACACCAATATATTTGTAAAGTTTTAAAGAAATATTCTTAAAGGCAAAACTTACCGGTACAATAAAATCATTTACCGATGAAGTATCAATGATCTTTGAATTATTATGTTTTGAGTTCAATTATACATGTAAAAAGAACACATAACTTCCCATACTTTCAGGTTATAGAATGCTCTGATGTTGAACTTATGACATATTCGCGATAGTTGGATATTGTATAATGCATGTACCTGTTTATGTACAACAGAAAACTACAGTTAACTCTGGATGGTTCTGATGACAACTACCTTCCAGCCCGAGTGACAGTACAGGGAGGCGAACACGAAAACCTGTCTGTGCTGCGGTCACTGGTCATTGATTGGTCAGTTTTACTAATTTGTTAATAGGTTTACCCTTAGTCCTCAATGTCTGTGTAAATACAATACAACAGTGACCACTGGTCAGTTTATGATATGGAGAGTGCTAGTATGATAACTTTTGTACTTACATGTGTTAGTAATAATTCTTTTCAAATTCTACATTGTGACTAATTCAGCATTTTTGTATGTTAAGCTTCAGTTGGTTAACAGCAATGTACAGAAAGATTTCATTAAGATGAAAAAAGATACTTTTCATTTGAAAAGAATAAAAAAGTTCAAAGGCCAATATTTATTAAAGAGATCACTTCCCTTTTGATGGTTTCTGAAAAAGTATGGCACGTCTGCAATCTTGACCCCAACACTACCCAAAATTATAGACTTCAGTATAAACTTCTATGGCAGGTGAACAATTCAGTATACTATATAGTTTTGACCAAAAAAATACTTTTTATTAGTGTGTAAAAAGTGATTTTTTTTCCCTGAAAATGAAGAAGTGTTTTTCCAGTATTTCAGAACACAATCTTTGCCAATTTATTCAGGTACTGGATGCTGTAAATTTTAGTCGGAAAAAACTACTGCATATTTATATTGTGTTATAGCTCAGTTTCAAATCTCTAACTGTGGTCATAGGACTCTACCCAGTATGCTATTTCGGGTATTTTTGGTTTTGGGTGATATGCTAAAACATTTATGTTTAATTTGAGACTTTTTTTATTCCAGGGAAGTGAAAGATGTAGAGGATATAACTGTATTAGAGAATATGACCGAACATTTCCCCGTCATTATGATCCTCATCAAAGAGTGTAAAGGTGAGAAGAAATTTCAGCTTAAAAGTTCACTCAGTTTAAGGTCCTCCTCGTTACATGGTTTCCTACCTGTGACTTTAGAGAGTTTTACCTAAATTGAAAATTGTATTCCTAGAGTGGGATAGATATATTACTTGATTAGCTTTCAATAAAACTGCGGGTATATGAGTTGGATAAATATATTACTGGGATAACCCTTAATTTGGAATACTTACGTGGGATTGATGTATCCTAAGAATAGCCCTTAACTGGGAATATATGAAAGGGATAAATATATTACTGAAATAGCCTTCACAAAATGTGGAGTTCTGAAGTGGGATAGATAAATTACTGGGATAATAACCCTTAACTTGGAAAACATGAGTGGGGTTAATATATCATTTGAATTGCTCTTAATTGGGAATATATGAAAAGGATAAATATATTGCTGGAAGAACTGTGAATGAAACTTGGAATATGATGTGAAATAGAGGTTTCTGTGGTAAAAAAATCATGGGTGCTTCTATGTATCAGATTAACTATGATTTTATTTCAAATTTGATTGTCAGAGATCTTTAAATAACATTCAAAACTTATCCTCTTGCCTCAGATAATGTTTCAACCACTCTTAAAATCTCAATCAACATCACATTTAATAGACTACATAGGTCACCATACTTTACAAGTTGTGATATTTTGGTATTCTGTATTTCTTTGATATTCTGTGAAGATTTTCAATAGTTATTCTTGAATTCAGCTGGAGGTATTGACACAAGAATACGTGGCATCAAGATATCTTCATCAGAAGGTCGTTATCTCGGATTTGATAGAGACTTCTTCAAGGGAGAGAACTTAGTTAGGTATCCAAAACTGGAACCCTATCCTCCAGATCAGCTGTACAGACGGTCATTACTTCTACAAAGGTAATATGCAAATCAAAAACTTGCAATGTGATATTTTGGGGTAAGTAGTAAGGAAAGATGTTTGCTGTTTCCTTCATGGATTGGCAGGAACAAGATTATTTGAATACTGAAGACTACATATTTGTGACAATGGTGAATCTGATCTCCAACAATGACTTGTCTTCATTTCACTCTCTCAGGTGGGGGAGGGTAGGGTTGAGAATGGGATTTACTATACTTTATTGTCAGCTTTTTAAACTGGAATAAGTTTCATTATGTCTCTATGTTATATCTCCATGCCATATCTCCATGATTGATAATTCATGATATACAGCAGATTCTACACTACACAGAGTAATTACAGTCAGTTGCTATGTATACATGTAGATCTGGTTGTAAAGACATAGATTTATTCTGTATAGAACCTTACATAAGGACTTTTTTATGTTGCAGGCTGATGGTGATATTAGACAGTGTTTTACCATATATAGTACCTGCCTGGGAATACTCTATAGGATCTTACAATTCATTAGAGGTCAGTATAGAGGTCACAATGTGTGTACAGGGAATACTCAATCTAGGTCAGTGTAGAGGCCACACTGTGTGTACAGAGAATACTGAATCTAGGTCAGTGTAGAGGCCACACTGTGTGTACAGGGAATACTGAATCTAGGTCAGTGTAGAGGTCACAATGTGTGTACAGGGAATACTGAATCTAGGTCAGTGTAGAGGTCACAATGTGTGTACAAAGAATACTGAATCTAGGTCAGTGAAGAGGCTACACTGTGTGTACGGAGAATACTGAATCTAGGTCAGTGTAGAGGCCACACTATGTGTACAGAGAATACTGAATCTAGGTCAGTGTAGAGGCCACACTGTGTGTACAGAGAATACTGAATCTGACAACTCATTAGAGGTCAATATAGAGGTCACAATTTGTGTACAAGGAATACTGGATCTTTCAATCCATTAGAGGCGAGTGTAGAGGTCACAGTATGTGTGTACAGGGAATACCCTAGGCTCTTATAACTCAATAGTAGTCAGTGTAGAGGTCACAGTATGTGTGTACAGGAATACTCTAGGCTCTTATAACTCAATAGTAGTCAGTGTAGAGGTCACAGTATGTGTGTACAGGGAATACCCTAGGCTCTTATAACTCAATAGTAGTCAGTGTAGAGGTCACAGTGTGTGTGTACAGGGAATACGCTAGGCTCTTATAACTCAATAGTAGTCAGTGTAGAGGTCACAGTATGTGTGTACAGGGAATACCCTAGGCTCTTATAACTCAGTAGTAGTCAGTGTAGAGGTCACAGTATGTGTGTACAGGGAATACCCTAGGCTCTTATAACTCAATAGTAGTCAGTGTAGAGGTCACAGTATGTGTGTACAGGGAATACCCTAGGCTCTTATAACTCAATAGTAGTCAGTGTAGAGGTCACAGTATGTGTGTACAGGAATACTCTAGGCTCTTATAACTCAATAGTAGTCAGTGTAGAGGTCACAGTATGTGTGTACAGGGAATACCCTAGGCTCTTATAACTCAATAGTAGTCAGTGTAGAGGTCACAGTATGTGTGTACAGGGAATACCCTAGGCTCTTATAACTCAATAGTAGTCAGTGTAGAGGTCACAGTATGTGTGTACAGGGAATACCCTAGGCTCTTATAACTCAGTAGTAGTCAGTGTAGAGGTTACAGTGTGTGTACTTGTGTTTAGTGTTTTTATTTGGGAAAATGGAAAGCTTAGCTTAGAAGGTATACAATGGTATTTTTTACACCAGCTTTTTATAATACCTTAATTTCTTTGTTATATATCTAGCCTATTGATGTGTCTATGACTTTTGCTGTATAAGACTATGTCCTTGTGTGATCTCCATTATTGGGTCTGTCTCTGAGATCTAAAACCTGGTTGTGAAGAAAGGTTGTTGGTATTTACGAAGATTAGGCAGATTGACAGAATGAAGTAGATTTTTTTATGCTGGAATGTGACTAAATATGGGATGGTATTGGTCAGTAGACATTGTTGTAAGCAAAGAATGTACTAGAGTTACTATACAAGAAATGGAACCTAATTTTCGACAGAGTTCTTTTTACTACCTTATCACGTGTTAGACTTTTGGCAGTATTTATTATGAAGTATTCCAGGATTGATGAGATTTTACATACCATTGCTGGTATTGTACTTGATCCAATATAGGTAAGTTTGCAACTCGATATTTGTGTGAAATTAGCTGACAAATTTATATACATGTATACTGCTTGTAACCTGCTTCAGCTTGTTTGGTGAAAATTGTAATGGTGATTGTGACAACTGTACTGTGATAGCAGAGTATCCGGTTCTTGTTATCGTAGTAATAGGTTGAAATCCAGCATACCCAAATTCTTATACAAACTGCACTTATGCATTGATCAATATTTTAGAATTAATTTCCTGGTATACAGTATGTAAAATCTTCACAAGAGTACTGTATGGCTCTGTAGAGACACGGCATTGATCTGTAAAAGTACTGCTAGAGTACTGTATGGCTTTGTAGAGACACAGAAGGATTATGTAAAATCATCACAAGAGTACTGTATGGCTCTGTAGAGACATAGAAGGGTTATGTAAAATCATCACAAGAGTACTGTATGGCTCTGTAGAGACACAGAAGAGCTGAAATAGTGGTTAATGTGCTAAATATTCAGACTTTACTTTTTGTATTGTTACATGTTATGACCAAACTATCTAAGTTTGTATGTTGGTACCTTAGATGTCAGTACAACAAAAGTCATTTAATTATGTGTTTGTAGTAATTGTGATCTGTTTTCTTTACAGCTGGTGAGACAGCTTTTGCCATTATCAAAAAAACGCCTTAATCTCATAGAAACTTTCATCAAGGAATCTTCATCGGAGTAAGTAACTGACATTCATCAAACATCTCCAAACCATTTTTTAGTCCTTTTATATGAACATGATTTCAGATTGTACTTTTAGCTTGTGACAAGTACTGTGTTTAACTAACATATATGGTTCATATATATGAACATACAGGTGTAAATGAAAGCCTATTCTTTTACTTGTAGCCTAATTTTTTACCTTTCCTTTAACTTCACCTGTCAAACTAGTGAAGATAGCCTCTAACCACACCTAGATATTCTTTCTGTTACTTTGAAAACTGAAAAAAAAAACGTATTAAACAGTACAAGACAAGCTTTACAAAAGGCCATGTTAGTGTGTCTGTTGAGAATGTATTGTTTCTTTACTACGTCTAAGGATTCATGAGGGATATTAATAACAATAATGCTAAGCTAAAAGCTTCTTGGTCGTGAAAGATAAAGGTAAATTTGAAAGGTGATTATTCACACAAATTGTTATTAAAACAAAATGTTTTTGTTATTACAGACGACCAGTGGAGATTCCGAAACTATTTATAAATCGCCGAGCAGCCATGGAGCACCGATGTAGTGCGGCTCAGGATTCTGACTTCAAAAACACAATTTTTATGCAAATTTATGAGGGTCTTAAGCCTAGAGACAGAACATCAAAACCTTTAAATTATAGGTAAAACCCACCACTAGAACCTGTATTTCTCGAATACCACCTATTTGTCAAACGGTTTGCTCGCTGTTGACTGTGTCCTTATATGTTACCTTTTGTATAACCTCAGATTCTTTGAACCATTATTCCTCCAATGCCCCACATTCCTTGAATTAATTTATATTCCTGCTGTTTCACAATCATGGTATTTCCTTCCTTTATTCATTGGACAGCTGTCACACTTGCCAAATTTACCTGTATCATGCATGACTACATCCAACTTTATAGAAACGGTTTTGATCACAACCTAATGTTTATACAGGTGTCTAGCAGAACAGCAGATAATTATGGAATTAATATGACTACATCCCTGGTGCCATTTGCAAGATAATTTTATTGTTTTATTAGGACATTTCTTATGAATTTGTTTTTGAATTCATTAATTGGACATAGAAAATTCAACTGTTTTTTATCCCTGTATATAAGCGAATTTACCGACTAGCACAAAAAATGCTAAGTTTGTGCCTCAAAAAGGCTATGTTAGTGCCACAAAAAAGGCTATGTTAGTGCCACAAAAAAGGCTATGTTAGTGCCACAAAAAAGGCTATGTTAGTGCCACAAAAAAGGCTATGTTAGTGCCACAAAAAAGGCTATGTTAGTGCCACAAAAAGGCTATGTTAGTGCCACAAAAAAGGCTATGTTAGTGCCACAAAAAGGGAATAACATTTTACTTGTATCCCAATAATACAAGATAAGGAGTGGTCAGTGATCAAGTTGTTTATCAACAACATATTTAGTGATCGACTGGACTTACTGTGTAATATTGTTGCATTGTGTATAGCTCTTTAGACTCGTTTGCTTCAGTTGTAAATTTTGTCTGTCTGTTCATCCTTTATTCAGGATCTTGTAATCTTAGATGGCTTCTATGGCTTCTGTCTATCAGCCTTAACATTGAATAAGGAAAGTTGTTGAAAATCTTTGAGAAGTAATATGGAGCTGCTGTATTTCAGAAATTGTCTGAATTGTATTTTTCTAATTTATTTATTTAGATGGACGTCAAGGTATGAACAGTGGTGGGAGTGTAAGTTTATGTCAGAGGGAGTGATTGACCAGGGAGGAGGATTCAGGGACAGCCTATCTGACCTGGCCGAGGAACTTTGTCCCATGTCAGCTGATAAACCTCTCCCTTTGCCTTTCTTCATTCGAGCTCCAAATCAGGTAAATGTCCTTGAATTCAAAGAGGTCCTAATCAGGTATCTATTATCAATGTGAAAATACACAGAAGTCCTTCTTTTTTTTTGCTGTAGATTATTTTTAGTTGCATGTTTGAAGGTCAAGTGAGGTTATGCCATGTCAACAGGACTTGTCCTATCCAAAGTGGTAGAGAAACAACAATCTTGAATTTGATTTTTAAAAGTTTATCATTTTTTCTTGAGAGGAATTTTCAAATTTCATATAATCATGAGCAAAACAAAAGCAAAAACAGAGGAAAGAAGGAAGAAGATTCAACTTTTAAAGAACAAATCAAAATCAAACAATGATGGTTGCCGAGATCCCTCTGGGATATCTTGTTTGAAAATGATGGCGAATGGTTAGACTGTTGTCATTACAGTAAAATATTATCTTACATTTCTATGTACATCAATCACCAGCCGTATCAATCTTCTTCCTGGTTTATCAGATTTGTGTTTATGAGTTTTTGATTTTAGTTTGATGATGTCAATGTGAAGGCTCATTTTAAGAGATGATTTGTGTGTGCTATTTAAGTTGCGAGATGACTCAAACGTAAACAAGGATGTGTATATCCCAAACCCTGCCTGTAAGGAGTTTGCCAAGTATGAGTGGATTGGCCAGCTGATGGGAGCATGTCTTCGTGGCAAAGAGAATCTGGTGAGTATGAGTGGATTGGCCAGTAGATGGGAGCATGTCTTCATGGCAAAGAGAATCTGGTACCATTTGTATTGTGTGAAGTGTTAACCTCATGATAAATGTGTTGCCCATTTCATCTACTGAACTTCCATATTTGGAGCAAGAAATACAAATCCAGTTTTTCAGCAGAACAGATAAAGAAGATCCTGGATGTGATAGATTGGTAAATGCAATAAAAAGCATCTGATCAGAAGTAAGATTGTCTAAACCAATCAATCATCATTTGATGAACTAATAGACAAAGCTTAGATTCTGGATTCTGAGTAAGTGGGTTGCTGATATCAGGCTCTACAAAGTGTGTCAAAAGAAATTACCTTGACCTTTGTTTAAGGTCATGGAGGTCACATTATAAATTATATTTTGAATGAAGTAAAAGTTTACCATATGTCGGATCATGGGGATGAATTTTGATAAAACATTATCAGTCATACCAGGTTTATTGTACTGTTTCTTTGAAAAATCTAAACTGTTTTAGAAAACTGAATTTCTGTTTTATAGATTATATTTTAGTTATCATGAAAATGCCCACTGAGTCTTGTGTCTTATCTTGTGTTAAGTATAACACAACAGTTTGATGACATTTTGATCTGAAGCTGAGATAAAATGTAGTTGTGATTAAGATAGAAGTTAAAAGGAAAGACTGTGAGCAATTGCTTGTATTTTACAGATCCTAGCTTTCCCATCCTTTGTATGGAAAAGGTTAGCTGGAGAAACAGTGTCTTGGTCAAGAAACTTCAACAGCGTTGATGCTGCAGAGGTAAAAATCACATCTTTCCTATATTTCCTATAATTATGAGGTCTTCAATGAAAATGAAATGTTAAAGGTCACACTTTACTGCTTTGATTGAGTGAAAACTGATAGCATTAGTTCTGTATACTTTAGATTTGCAGTTTGGTCAGTTTCTTAGGCAGTCAGTTCTATAGAATGCAAATATCCTTTTTATGGTTGAGTTTTGCTATGATAAAAAAAAATGAAAAGGAAAAAAAAATCCAACATATTTCACTCTTAATTTCTCAAGCCTGGATCTGTTGTCCATCAGTCAATTTTAACTGCAAATCGCTATTAGTCATGAACTATATAGAAAATGTTAACCAAATTTGGGGAAAGTAGGACATAAGAAAAAAAAACCAGGTTAAACCTTCACATTACTTCTCCTTTTGTGTTAATGAAAGGATTTAAACCCACTTTAGAGAGACTCCATTTTTTTATAAACAAGGGATATGGTTCCTGGGGGCAGAGGGTGGGGGCAGAGAGGTCGGGCTGAATGAGGGAAATAGAACAAATTCATTAAAATTCTTCTTCTGTCTTAGGAAAACCAGGGTTTTGTCCCAATGTAGTTTGAAGCATCCTAGGGTGAAAGTGACTTTCATATAAATGACTTGACTGATCCCCTTGACACAGAGGGATTCTCCTTTTTCCTTTCTTTTGAGTAAAGCCATTTCAGTCAAGCAAAGCCAGTTGAGCAATAAATACCCTATAGGCCTCTTTTTAGCCCACCATCTATTCAAATAGATGGTGGGTTATTCAAATCGCCCTGCGTCCGTGGTCCGTGGTCCGTCCATCCTTCCGTCCGTCCGTCCATCCGTCCGTAAACAATTCTTGTTACCGCTATTTCTTGGAAAGTACTGGATGGATCTTTCTCAAATTTCATATGCAGGTTCCCCTTGGTCCCTAGTTGTGCATTGTACCTTTTTTGGACTGATTCGAATTCAAGATGGCCGACAGGCAGCCATCTTGGATTTTGGAAGTAAAAGTTTGTTACTGCTATTTCTTGGAAAGTACTGGATGGATCTTTCTCAAATTTCATATGCAGTTCCCCGTTAGTCCCTAGTTGTGCATTGTACCTTTTTTGGACTGATTCGAATTCAAGATGGCCGACAGGCAGCCATCTTGGATTTTGGAAGTAAAAGTTTGTTACAACTATTTCTTGGAAAGTACAGGATGGATCTTTCTCAAATTTCATATGCAGTTCCCCGTTAGTCCCTAGTTGTGCATTGTACCTTTTTTGGAGGTGGCCATGGCCATCTTGGATTTTGGATGTAAAAGTTTGTTACCGCTATTTCTTGGAAAGTACTGGATGGATCTTCCTCAAATTTCATATGCAGTTTCCCCTTAGTCCCTAGTTGTGCATTGTACCTTTTTTGGACTGATTCGAATTCAAGATGGCCGACAGGCAGCCATCTTGGATTTTGGAAGTAAAAGTTTGTTACTGCTATTTCTTGGAAAGTACTGGATGGATCTTTCTCAAATTTCATATGCAGTTCCCCGTTAGTCCCTAGTTGTGCATTGTACCTTTTTTGGACTGATTCGAATTCAAGATGGCCGACAGGCAGCCATCTTGGATTTTGGAAGTAAAAGTTTGTTACAACTATTTCTTGGAAAGTACTGGATGGATCTTTCTCAAATTTCATATGCAGTTCCCCGTTAGTCCCTAGTTGTGCATTGTACCTTTTTTGGACTGATTCGAATTCAAGATGGCGGACAGGTGGCCATCTTGGATTTTGGAAGTAAAAGTTTGTTACTTTTCTCAAATTTCATAAATTTCAGGTTCCCCTTGTCCCTAGTTGTGCATTGTACCTTTTTTGGACTGATCTTGATTTTGGAAGTAAAAGTTTGTTACTGCTATTTCTTGGAAAGTTCAAGATGGCCGACAGGCAGCCATATTGGATTTTGGAAGTAAAAGTTTGTTACTGCTATTTCTTGGAAAGTACTGGATGGATCTTTCTTAAATTTCATATGCAGTTTCCCCTTGATCCCTAGTTGTGCATTGTACTTTTTTGGACTGATTCGAATTCAAGATGGCAGACAGGTGGCCATCTTGGATTTTGAATGTAAAAGTTTGTTACTGCTATATCTGAAAGTAAGTACTGGATTTTGGATCCTATTTCTTGATATTTCACAGATATATTGGTTTCCCGTGGTCCCTAGTTGTGCATTGTACCTTTTTTGGACTGATTTGAAATCAAGGTGGCCCACAGGCAGCCATCTTGGATGTCGACAGTAATACAGCACAAGCATATTGTCCATTATCCACCTGTAACTGACTGCTATCTAATAATACTTTGGGATCTTTTTCAAATGATATTTGCTAATAGGTGCTTAATAAAAATATCTTGTGCCATCATTGAGTACATTCAATGAAGACCAGTTCATGAACATGTACAAAACCTGTAACACACAAAAAAAAATAAAACAAATCTTCAAGAACTGAAAACAGATCCTCAAATGGTGGGCGCCAAGATCCCTCTGGGATCTCTTGTTATATGTGTAATTGTGTAGGTAATGTTGATAGTGTATGTTGTCCTTGGAGTTTTGAACAACTTTGTTTTGTATGTATGCTGTGTTATATAGGTGACACTGATAGACGATATGGAGACTACAGACAAGGAAAATTTCCTTATCTTGGGTCGTACTTGGAGCACGGTGCTAAGTGATGGAACTATGATCCTGATGAAAACCGATGACAAAGGAAATCCGTTAGACTTGATGTTTGAAGACCGCAAAGAATACTGTGATAAAGTGAGAATGATACGCATGGCTGAATCTGATGAACAGGTAAACAATATGAAATATATTCATGATTAATGATGAATTTAGAGCAATATTTCTGCAATTTGTATATCAAATGTTTGACTGAGGAGTCCTGGTAAAAAGTTAAACAACACAGATTGTGTGATATCAGAGAAAGCAAAGCTGAAAGAGTCCATATAAGGCCAGATTTGATGTCTTGGCAGTCGTTTAGTTTGATTTGAATAGACAGACCAGGAACTGCATGAATTGAGTAGGCCTGTTGTGTTTACTTTTTCTGTAATCTTTTTTTTCATGATGAGATATATGTTGTAGCTGGAGGCCATAAGGAAAGGCTTACTTAAGGTGGTACCTCAGGCTGTGCTCGATCTGATGACTTGGCAAGAACTGGAACACCGAGTCAGTGGTGACCCTGACATCTCAATAGAGGATCTAAAACGCTCCAGTAAGTTCTATTGACCTTCCATGATCAGTAAATATTGTTCTTATATAAAGTCCCACTGTAAATAGTGTTATAATGTAGAGCCACACTTTAAATATAGTTAAGATGTCGTAAAAATTACAATTTAAATGATTTTAAAATATTGTGAAAAAATCCCATCGTAAATAGTGTTTTATTTTCCTTGAAGACATTACTCCTATTTAATGTCTTGGCAGTATTCAACCAAATTTGATCTGAAACGTTATTGGGGGTTGGTTCAGAAAGTTGATTCAACCCCAATAGACAGACCTTGAGATGGGACCCTATAGTGGAAGCCGGTTAACATTTTGGTTTAAAATGCCACTCTTCCTTAATGCTTGAATGGATTTTGATGACATTTGATCTGGAACACTATCAGGCAGAAGAGACAATGGTATCAAACAAAGTGATCCTGAGATTGTCCTGACCAAATCTTATCTTGAGTTTGGTCTAAGATAACTCATCTTGAACAAATATTCTTAACTACTTCTCCAGAACCTAGTCTAAACTTCGATATGGTAGTCACAGTAGCCATTTTGTTACATGGTTGTGCATCTGCTTTTCTTGAACACCACCTGCCATTTATGAGTTTCTAATACTTTCTAGTGATGTTCAAAATTTGAAATCATCAGATTTGTTATACCACAATCAGAAAATGGTGGGCTGTTCAAATTGCCTTTTGTCCAAGGTCTGTCAGTCTATCGATTGTCAGATGACCGTTACTGGCCATGGCCCTTTTGTTTACCCGTATGTCAAGATATCAGCTGAACAAAAACCCTAAAATGTTTGTTTGTTTTATTGATGAAGTGACGTTTCAGAAGTAACAACAAACAATATTCTTGTAATAAATGAAGTTGATTATCCTTGTTGTACAGTTCGTTATGATGACGTGGAAGAGACAGACACCCGAGTCAAGTACATGTGGGAAGCTTTGAAAAACTTTTCTAATGAAGATCGAAGTCGCTTTCTCCGCTTTGTGACAGGTAGACGGCGCCTTCCTGCTCCAGTACACATATCTTCTGGGAAAGGGTGAGTATCACAGCACACCAGACTGTTAATAAGGTTTCGATCAGGGTAGTCAAATACTGATTCAGTATCAGTGAAAGTACTACTAAGTTTTAGAAAGTCAGTTAATTCCTTTTGAAAACCTTGAGATAGCTTGTAGCTGATGTCCACTGTTGTCCGTTAATTACTTGTGTAAACCTTGAGTTAGCATGTAGCTGATGTCCACTGTTGTCCGTTAATTACTTGTGTAAACCTTGAGTTAGCATGTAGCTGATGTCCACTGTTGTCAGTTAATTACTTGTGTAAACCTTGAGTTAGCATGTAGCTGATGTCCACTGTTGTCAGTTAATTACTTGTGTAAACCTTGAGATAGCATGTAGCTGAAGTCCACTGTTGTCTGTTAATTACTTTGTAAACCTTGAGATAGCTTGTAGCTGATGTCCACTGTTGTCCGTTAATTACTTGTGTAAACCTTGAGTTAGCATGTAGCTGATGTCCACTGTTGTCAGTTAATTACTTGTGTAAACCTTGATTAGCATGTAGCTGATGTCCACTGTTGTCAGTTAATTACTTTGTAAACCTTGAGTTAGCATGATGCTGATGTCCACTGTTGTCCGTTAATTACTTGTGTAAACCTTGAGTTAGCATGTAGCTGATGTCCACTGTTGTCAGTTAATTACTTTGTAAACCTTGAGTTAGCATGAAGCTGATGTCCACTGTTGTCAGTTAATTACTTGTGTAAACCTTGAGATAGCTTGTAGCTGATGTCCACTGTTGTCCGTTAATTACTTGTGTAAACCTTGAGTTAGCATGTAGCTGATGTCCACTGTTGTCAGTTAATTACTTGTGTAAACCTTGATTAGCATGTAGCTGATGTCCACTGTTGTCAGTTAATTACTTGTGTAAACCTTGAATTAGCATGTAGCTGATGTCCACTGTTGTCAGTTAATTACTTGTGTAAACCTTGAGATAGCTTATAGCTGATGTCCACTGTTGTCAGTTAATTACTTGTGTAAACCTTGAGATAGCTTGTAGCTGATGTCCACGGTTGTCAGTTAATTACTTTTGGAAATCTTGAGGTAACTTGTAGCTGATGTCCAGTCATCCTTGATACTCCAGGGGATACTATCATTCTTTGCATCCCCAGAACACTTCATGGTAAAATTGAATGCACAAACAAAGTAATTTGATTGGTCCAGAGCAAGTTCCAGGAAAAACAATAACTGACCATCCACAGGCTGATATGCTTTTTTCACAAAGGGCAACACCCAAGTTCAAAATTGCAACCCAGAGATTCATTTGAAAAGAATCAAACTAGTCTTGCCCACAAGGTGTTGCACATGAAACCTTCAATTTTACCATGACATGTTCCAGGTCTGCAGAGAGCGATAATGATATATTATAAAAAATTATACATTTCATGCATCTTTAATTAAATATCAATATTTTGTGTTCTTGGTTTTTTACTAAAGAGGCAGAATTCATGAAAAATTTACTATTTTATAGTCCAAATTATCAGTGTTACCTCTGTCCTGGTATAGATATGTAACGAAATTATAAGAAACAAGTTAATTGTGAGATATACACAAGAATAAAAGATATATGTAAGAGAAGATTGAAACTTGAATAGTAACCTGAATGTCATCTTTCAAATCATGTACTTGAGAATTTTCTAAAATTATCAGATAAATAAAAATTATGAAATTTCATTGAATTATGAGGCTAGTGCCTCAACAAGATTTCGACAATTCTTTCGATAACTTTGGATTTGTTCATTGACTTCCTTGACTTCACTGACGAGTCCTACAAGGAAAAATTAATGGTATGATACAGTTAGATTCATTGTTTGGCTGTACTGTATCTAACTCTTAGTGTTAGAAGATATTCACTTGTGTGTTTTTTGAACAATCTTCCACACAAATAAATGAGTATGGAGGATATTACACCAGCAGGTTACCAAGATTGTCTACTGGTTTTATGGCACTTTCAAATCAAGTCCCACATGCCGTAAATGGAAAACTTCACTGAATGTTTGATGCATTTATTTAATAACTCTATCAGGACAGTCATGTTGATATTTTTGAAGTAACATAGCAAATGTATGGTTTATGTGAAGCTGCTCTAATTACTTTGACCTAAAACATGTATTAACAACATCAATATATTACAGGGATTCTGTTGACTGTTTACCGGAGTCATCCACGTGTGCAAACACTCTGTATTTACCTAACTACACAAGGTAAGTGTATGTTTGTTGTGAGAGGTGTAAAAGGAATAGAAAATCACTCATGCATGAAGAGTTAAGGGACATTAAATTCTCGGTATGTTAATACATGAATTTCAGCAAGTTACTGCCGCAGAGGGAGAGAGAAAATCACATTTTCTATAAAGTAATTTAGGGTAGTTTGTCAATTATTCAATATCCACAAATGCCTTGAATCTGTTGACATTAATCATACTACACAAACTAAGGTATAAGATGAGATAAGACATTATTGGTTTTGTGGTTATTTTCACTTTTGTATAATATTTATTGTAAAAATATAAATGTCATCTTTATGTTTTGGAATGTTTTTATTGTGTCAGTTTCATTGAAAAAACAATTATGATCTTATATCTGGTAAGTTAGTTTGTTAGCATGCATTACAGAAATGGCATTCCGTGATAACTACCACTAGTTGTATTGATTACAAATATCATAGCTTGTGAGTAGGGTTTATTTCTGTAATTTGACAGTACCTTGAGTCCATAATAGTTACAACATTTTGTTAACAAACCTTACAGATGACCAGCATACCATATATATCTCTCATAGGCCCCCATCAAAAAATAAAATTGTCTGATAATGTTGAGAGTCCTTCCCTTATTTTAACTGATAAAATGCTCAGAGATATTTGAGGTGAGACATAGACCATAATCTAACTGTGTTCTGTTAAACCTCTACCACGAGATTTCCTAGTCAGACAGAAAGCAGTATATCCCCATGCCTTCCACTTAATTTTTTAATAATTATATACAATGTTAGCAGCATGACTTGTGAAATAAGACTTAACTGTTAGTTGCACTGCATTCTTGAATACAAAAACATTATCAAAAAAGAAAACTTCACTCACTTTTGAAGATCATATTAATGGTAAGCATATTTTTTCTTCTTCCTCTTCCTCAAAAAATGATTGAGGTCAAGTTTTTGTTTGGTTCTATCTGATCAACTCCTTATTTCAAGAGTTATTGCCCTTGAACTGTGAAAAATTTCTGTATGTTATCAGTTCCTGCTGATTATCACATGGCTGAATAGAGCTACTAAGCTAACATTTGATGTGTAGTTGTATCATGAGAAGTATTAGGTTATGGTCAGCTTAGTAGGCTTAAATCCTTCAACTGAGAATTTTTTTAACATTGTTTGTACCGAGTCAGCTTTTAAATAAATTAACTTTGTAGATTACTTCTATTTTGGGTTGGATTGTTGCTGTAGAAAATTTTCAAGTAGGAAACTCAAAACTGTACCTATATATTGTGGTATTTTTTTTTGTTTGAAGTGCCAAGATTGCCGAGGAGAAGTTGAGATATGCATCATATAATTGTATGGATATGGATGCTGACGTAAATCCATGGGACGAGTGATTATCGGTGACCACCAATCTGTGATGTCTTCATCTGTTCATTAGTGACTTTCAACCAATAAAAACTCATACAAACTCTGTGATTCATTGAAACAGACATGTTCATTGTACATTTTTATAACTCTCTGTGATTCATTGAAATGGGCATATTCATTGTAAGTTTTCAATAACACTTACAAACTGTGATTCATTGAAACGGAGGTGATCCCTAAAGAATATCGGAGATGGAGGGTTTGACGACCATGTTGGTTACAAAACTATGATGTGATGAGTTATAAAAAAACTAAGCTTTGCACAGTTTGCTTATTACCACACTGGTTTGCTAGAAGATTGACCAGAACTACAGGTGAAAATTTGATTTGTAGCTTGGCATAATTATAGAGCTATTTACAATATCTCATCAAGAAAAATTCCGCAACCGTTTAATTTTGTATGTAGATAATTCAAATATTACTGATATAAAGGAAGACAGAAGGACTTAATATAAAAAGGAAGACAGAAGGACTTAATATAAAAAGGAAGACAGAAGGAATTGATATAAAAAGGAAGACAGAAGGACTTAATAGCTACTATTGTGTTAAAGGAAGGTTGATTCAGTAAGGAGGAATATTTTAGAAGACTGATATCGCAGTATCGGTAGTCTTACATGTAATCTCCTTGTGAATAATAATCTTTCATCTCTCTGCTATTCCTCCGATTATTCTATCTATCAGAAGATAATGAATAGAATTGAAATTCCAAATCAGAATATAAACCCACAATGCATCCACAAGTAATATTCTTAGGAAAGGATATACTCAAATAATAATAAAAAAAACAACTCAAATCACACCAATCAATGGTAGACTATAATGTTTCAGTATCTAATGAACACAACCTATTGTCCTTTACAGTACCGTTCTTGTTTTTTTTTACTACTTCCAGAAAAAGAAAAAAGATGAAAATACAGCTACCCAACCTGTGGAAAGCTGTTTTATACCACTGTATTAGTTGATGATATATATTAACACACAGCCTCCACCCCTGTCCCTACCTCCACCAAAACAGTGACTGATTTTGTGTATTGTTTCATTTTGTAGTTTCAGTATTTTAGAACACTCTTAATTCTCTCAATCTCCCACAGATAACACAAGACAAAGGAGACTCCATCATGAAGCTTGTCAAACACTGATCTTTGTGAACTTTTGAAGTCCTCTGTTTATCTGTAAAAAAAGAAACCTAACCGCAAAGATAAACAGTTCTACACTAATTAACTTAAAACAGAGAAACCAGCTTACATATAACCTGACTGCTTTACATAGAGGTCAGCAACTTTTTCAGTTGATAAATGATCCAGCTCTTGTCATTTTGTGACCACAAATGGTGTTATTGTTGGCCTGGACCATAGCATGTCTAACCAATATTTTTTTAAACCATAACACCTTCCAGGTATTGTAGAGCTATCACAGTTGTAGGCATGATATTGCGTATTTTTGCTCATTTTTCTTACTAATATAAAATTAGGAACGAAGTTGTAGTCAACAGGAGAAATGAATTTCCATTAAAGTGTTTTGAGGTATATGGAGAAATAAAGACGTGGAAATATTCCTGTCATTTTTAAAACTGCTGATTCATTATCAAAATATTTCAAGAAGGACCAGTCAGTCATAATGTCATACCCATGGCTGTTAAACATTTCTCATTCTGCCGAAAAAAAACAACCCTCTAGGGTAGGATGAATTTCCAAATATATATGTATGCATGCTAGCTTACTGTGTTTGCAAGAAATGAAGCTGCTTACATAACAAAAATACCTGCTGTAGTTTTAATTTTGCCAATTGCAGTGTTAAAAAACTTTGTACTGTAAACTATGCCAAAAATATATGTGATTTTATGTCTCTTAAGAATTGAAAGTTTGGCAAAAATGACAATTTTTTATAAGGCCGAAGAAAAAAGCTGTGGCAATAAGTCCTGTATGCAGTAATATTGCAAAGTTGGGAAATATATGATACTGAACCGCCATTCCATACCTAATTACTCAACATAAGTTTCTTGATAGAACCTCTACTTGTTCAGTGCTTTTTTAACCAATGCTGAAAACAGGGCCTGTATATTCATGAAACCATTCTCATGCTCAAGCATAGATTTTGACTTTTTTTTTATAATTCGCCTAAATTATATAAAATAATACAAATGTCAAATATAAACATGGAATATAACTTTGACTTGAAGTCCTTTTCTAAATTTTTTTTTTAAAAATCTTTGGCAAAATCAGCCTTATTTATTAATTTTTCACTTAAACAAGCTAGAGCACAACATTCATGTTTGAGCATGAGAACCGTTTCAAGAATACCGGCCCAGGACTTTTTACATATATACTAAAGAGTCTATTTTTGTAACTGATGACTTTTCTTTACGAAAAAAGATGTGCAGTAGAGTAAAGTGTGGTCAGATATTAGGTTTTGATAAAAAAAAAATTAATATTCCTACACAGTAAATAAGGGTAAATACACCAGAGCTTATTCATTAGCTCTTCATTATATCCAGCTGTTAACACTGAGTTAGTGTTCATGTATTGCATCAAAAAATAATCCAAACCAAGATTTTTATCAAATCCCAATGTAACCTCAGTAGAGTGGATGCTTTATAGCAAAAAATGGTATTTAATATGTAAGAATGTTTGTCCATTTAATACTGATAGATCATTGTAGTCGTAAAAAAAATCATTATTATCTTTTTTTATGACTTTGAGGAAAATTCACACATGAAAGAGTCCATAATATTAGTTAAAAATTCAAATGCACATAAGATACTAACATCAACTTTGTAAACATGATAAGGTGCTAAATTTGCCAGAGAGTCTTTTTTTTCCTACAAAATACCCCCAGAACTGAAAAGTTCTATATATGTTTAAGAATTTTGCTACATCTTTTCATTCCGTGCTCTCGTTATAGGCACAGATATTTGAATTCAGTTACACCATATTTGGAATTGGTGTATTTGCTTGATTGGGTATGCTTTCATTTTAGAATATATATAACTTATTTATGTAGTTACATATGTATTAAGGTGATAAGATCATGATTATGGTAACTAAATTCAAACAAGAATATACTCTACTCAATATATAGATATCAGCACACTTTGATAAAAATCTGATTTTGATATTACTATCTTGATTGAGATTGTACAATTACACCAAGTAGAACCATCATTTAGTCTATTTCATGTTAAAAACAGAAATATCCTAATTCAGAAATATTCCATTTACTAAATGTATCCTGATATTATACAGGACAAAACAAGATATAGAATTCCTGACCCTCTCACAATAATTGTCCATTCTAACATTCTATCGATTTTTTTTTATATCAGTCAGGAGACGACTTTAGACATTTGAAAACAAAGTTGATGGAATGTCAGAAAGCATAAATAATGTGGGATACATGTTTCTGTCTAACAGCAGGACATACGAGCTCTAAACAATAATATATGTGTTTATATAAGAAATATAGTAAAATGACGTAAATTTTATTGAATATATTCAATAAAAAAGGGGAATTTTTTTAAGAGTTCTGTTTTTGTGATAAAGATAGTATACATTACGATATCAGAATGTGTACTTCTTTTATTAAACATATTGATGAAAAAACCCAGGGTTGATCAATAGACAGGAAGGTGTTCATATAAATATTGTTAAAGGATAGTATAAAATAGTATCAAACCGAATTCAAAATCGATGAAATCCGTACAAAACGGGAACAAAAGCAACTACATTGTTTTGTAAAAGAAGGAAAAAAGGATAAAAGTTGTTATCATCCGCGTAGTTATCAAATACTACAATAACCCACATCCGTATAAATGCTTACTTTTTTATCCACCAGAGCGCCATATATTGTCCTAACTTACGTCAAGCGCCATACATTGTCCTTACCTGCGTCAAGCGCAATACATTGTCCTAACTTACGTCAAGCGCTGTACATTGTCCTTACCTACGTCAAGCGCCATGCTTTGTCCTTGCTTACGTCAAGCGCCATACATTGTCCTAACTTAAGTCAAGCGCTGTACATTGTCCTTACCAACGTCAAGCGCCATGCTTTGTCCTTACCTGCGTCAAGCGCAATACATTGTCCTAACTTACGTCAAGCGCTGTACATTGTCCTTACCTACGTCAAGCGCCATGCTTTGTCCTTGCTTACGTCAAGCGCCATACATTGTCCTAACTTAAGTCAAGCGCTGTACATTGTCCTTACCAACGTCAAGCGCCATGCTTTGTCCTTACTTACGTCAAGCGCTGTACATTGTCCAAACTTGCGTCAAGCGCTGTACATTGTCCTTACCAACGTCAAGCGCCATGCTTTGTCCTTACTTACGTCAAGCGCCATACATTGTCCTTACTTACGTCAAGCGCCAAACATACCTTACTTACGTCAAGCGCTGTACATTGTCCTTACCTACGTCAAGCTTCATGCTTTGTCCTTACGTCAGGCGCTGTACATTGTCCTTACTTACGTCAAACGCCATACATTGTCCTTACCTGCGTCAAGCGCCATACATTGTCCTAACTTACGTCAAGCGCTGTACATTGTCCTTACCTACGTCAAGCGCCATGCTTTGTCCTTACTTACGTCAAGCGCTGTACAGTATCCTTACCTACGTCAAGCGCCATACTTTGTCCTTACCTGCGTCAAGCGCCATACATTTTCCTAACTTACGTCAAGCACCATACATTGTTCTTATCTTCGTCAAGCGCTGTACATTGTCCTTACTTACGTCAAGCGCCATACATTGTCCTTACCTGCGTCAAGCGCAATACATTGTCCTAACTTACGTCAAGCGCTGTACATTGTCCTTACCTACGTCAAGCGCCATGCTTTGTCCTTGCTTACGTCAAGCGCTGTACATTTTCCTTACTTACGTCAAGCGCCATACATTGTCCTTACCTACGTCAAGCTTCATGCTTTGTCCTTACTTACGTCAAGCGCTGTACATTGTCCTTACCTACGTCAAGCGCCATACATTGTCCTTACTTACGTCAAGCGCTGTACATTGTCCTTACCTACGTCAAGCGCCATGCTTTGTCCTTACTTACGTCAAGCGCTGTACATTGTCCTTACCTACGTCAAGCGCCATACATTGTCCTTACTTACGTCAAGCGCTGTACATTGTCCTTACCTACGTCAAGCGCCATGCTTTGTCCTTACTTACGTCAAGCGCTGTACATTGTCCTTACTTACGTCAAGCGCCATAAATTGTCCTTACTTACGTCAAGCGCTGTACAGTATCCTTACCTACGTCAAGCGCCATACTTTGTCCTTACCTGCGTCAAGCGCCATACATTTTCCTAACTTACGTCAAGCACCATACATTGTTCTTATCTTCGTCAAGCGCTGTACAGTGTCCTTACCTACGTCAAGCGCCATACATTGTCCTTACCTGCGTCAAGCGCCATACATTGTCCTAACTAACGTCAAGCGCCATATATTGTCCTTACCTACGTCAAGCGCCATACATTGTCCTAACTAACGTCAAGCGCCATATATTGTCCTTACCTACGTCAAGCGCCATATATTGTCCAAACTTACGTCAAGCGCCATACATTGTCCAAACTTACGTCAAGCGCCATACATTGTCCTTACCTAAGTTAAGCGCCATACATTGTCCTTACCTACACCAAGCACCGTATATTGTCCTTACAAACTTCTAGCGCCTTAAATTGTCCTTACCTACGTCCAGCGCCATACCTTTTCCTTACAAACGTCAAGCGCCATACATTGTCCTTACCTACGTCAAGCGCCATACATTGTCCTTACCTACGTGAAGCGTCGTACATTGTCCTTATCTTCGTCAAGCGTCGTACATTTTCCTTACCTATGTCAAGCGTCGTACATTGTCCTTACCAACGTCAAGCGCCATACATTGTCCTTACCTACGTCAAGCGTCGTACATTTTCCTTACCTATTTCAAGCGTCGTACATTTTCCTTACCTATGTCAAGCGTCGTACATTTTCCTTACCAACGTCAAGCGAGACATTTTTAACAACTTGGGATTCGTTTTCCTCATTTCAAATTCATGAAGGGAAATAAGGTTCGGCACGCCCACTGAACAAAATTAATTATGAAATATTGTGAGAACAAAATGCTTGGCGTGATATTTAAAGCCGGAATCGTCAAAGTCTGGCGAGATGTGTGCGCTGTGACTAGTTGTTACGATGTGAAACAATCACATTGACCAACCAACTTTCTCTCAACACAATAACACCTCGTGAACATTTAAATGTGCTTTATTTGCTTCATTACACATCAGCTTCATGCAAATTAGGTTGTTTTTCAGTACCTGGCCGATTTCAATTTATTATCTCTTAAAAACCATTAGAATTTAACATTTGTTGAATACATTTATATTTAAATCAAGTCCCATAATTGTCATTTTCATTGGTGTTTCGCACAAAAAAAAAAAAAAAATAGTGATCATGCATATAATAATGAACGAGAAACCTGTACTGTAATCTGTATTTAACACAACTGATCTCAAGAAAGTATTTTTGTAAGTACCACTTATCCAAATTAAACACAAAATAGATCACGTGTTTCCCATTTTGATTTTGAGCTTGTTCAACTTGGTTTCAAGATGTCGTATTTTGTAGCTTTTTTTCTTGTGCTTCCTCGCGAGTTTTTGTAAGCGTTGAAAACGTAATCTGTCCCGGAACGTTTTTCTGTTCTTTCCCCGGACGTTTTTCCAGACGGAAACGACAGTTGATTCGATGTTACACTGGTTCTCACCGCGAATGATCCGGAAATAACCAGATTCACCCCATCCGTCACCCCAGGAGTTGGCACAGAGCTGAAATAAGAATGGCACAACCATCGTCTGTCTAAGTCAGTACATAGATGCTGTACAGGTCTGAAATTTCGTGTACAGCAGTCATGATAAATGCAATATTGCTGGTCCAGAAATGTCTTCATATCCTCGTTACGTGAAACTGTTGCCTTGCTTTGCTTTGTATCTCATAGATCACTCTACGACCAGCCTAGATAGTAGTTTTTGGTGTTCGGCACGATCTCTTCAGAGTAAAGTGACTTATAAATATATTTGATATTGGTCACATAAACGTTTAAATCGGATGTATTTTTTAAGTCACATAAGAAATCTCATACTGACGTGATGAGCTCACCTTTTATCTGGCGTCGTGTGTTGTAAATTTAAAACTTGTTTAACTTCACCTGGAATACCCCTGCAATGATTTTAGTCATTATTTTTCAGAAACGGTCAACGGTCATGTGTAAGCTAATATTATAAATTAAATGGTCTGTCAGTTTTCATACTAGTCATACGAAAACGATGGCTACCTCAGCACTGTAACTGCAAACCTGACAACTTCTGAGCTCTCTCCTCCTCGTCCTCACGTGTGATTGATCATGAGGAATAATTTACTAGTAGTTTACGTTCTCGTCACACTATTTTCGACCATAGTGTACAAAGAATTATAGTACAGCCGAAAAAGTTGGTCGATTCCTTACCATCTCGTACACTACGTACGTCAGTGTTAGTACGCTTCACTCTGGTCATTTGTCTGATGGAGGTGACCGCGTAGTCATCGAAACGTCACACTCAAATCTCCTACTGATTGTGTTATAAGAACTTGTATTAATCTGTTTTCATATTTACAAACTCCAGTTGTCTCTTTTCGAAGTGGATATCGATATCACAGAAACTAATATCTCCAACAATTTTCAAACCTTCCATTAAAATCACAGAAACACCACCAGCATATCTCTCACACGGGTTACACTTGTTGTCTGGAGTTTACAATACAATTTCAAACTATATAACACTTTTAATGACCAGGCATTCGAGATTAAAATTTATTTTATTTCTTTTAGCATGGTGTAGATTTCAATATCGTGTTGGTAAAAAATTCATTATCTGCGGGGACTCGCGTACAAATGGCATATAATATACCGATGTTCTAACATGTTTACTAAAATTTGCTATTTTTCAGGATTTCCAATTTATCTAAAGTCTAGGACACGAAAATCACCTTTATACATTACGATATCAGAATGTGTACTTCTTTTATTAAACATATTGATGAAAAAACCCAAGGTTGATCAATAGACAGGAAGGTGTTCATCTAAATATCGTTAAAGGATAGTATAAGATAGTATCAAACCGAATTCAAAATCGATGAAATCCGTACAAAACGGGAACAAAAGCAACTACATTGACACGAAAATCACCTCTTACAGTAATAAAGAGTTGACGAAACGTCCAAGCATACGAAACCGCTGATATACTGTACTTTTACATCGCACAAAAATGAACTATTTCACAACAAGACTGTGATGATCGTGAAACTGTCCGTTGTATATATCTGTATCTATCAGATACCGGTGCTTTCACCTTTATCTTTCCTGTTGTTTAATTGCCGATGTTAGTAAAAACAATTGCACAATCATTTCAGCAAAAGCTACCGTAAATATCGACAGTGCTTATAATTTGAAGTCTTTGGTACACAACATCAGGAAGTCTTTGTTTTATGACAAAGCTGACAAAATTATCTTGGGACGAGAGTCTAGGAAACAGTAGAAAGAAGACAAAAAAAAGACAAATACGAAGAAAAACAACAGTAGGAAACATGTTTTCGCCATTTGTGACACTTTAGAATTCAGCCTTATACGATCCTGCCTGCTTAAAGGACATTGAAACCAAGCGTAACAAAGTTCTGAAACGTCGCCTACAAGAACACATAGAAAATCAACAATTTAAAACTATTCTTTACACCTTACAATAAAGTAAATTGATCCAAGTCACGTACATGCAATGTTGAATCGATTTCATAATGGTCAATCTCCCATGCCGGATCTTGTTAAACCGAATACATTAGATAGAAATAAGAGAGCGAAAACTGTTTAAAAACCCGTTTCTTATATAACGTGTTCAATTTAATGCAGTGATTATATACTCATCCTATAGTATCATATTATTCTGATAATTATAAAATGGAATAGAAACATCAAAAGCGTCATTTGATCTGATGATAACGAAGTGATTTCGATGAGTGTGTGTAACTTGCATACATGTACACGCTCTACTCGTTACAGGGAACAAATACTTGGAGATCGTCACGAGCTTTGCCTAATTCAGTCTTCTCGTGCACTTTATTTTGATAAAGTTCACTTGAAAATTTAAATCCACTTCAACATCAAGGACACAAAAATGACGTACATTAATGATACAAGTCTAGTATATTCACAGTCCTAGGCAGGAAATTATTATCATTATCACTAGTAGTAATTAACAAAATTGTTTAAATTCAGTATTTGATAATATCTTAGATAATAGCTCGTCTCCAACTTCACAGAATGTAGAGCATAACTGAAATTCAAACTAATTACTGGTAATAACTGATTAAATGTAAAAAAAAAACCCATATATTTCCCACACAAATAGTTACCCTTAGAATATATAACGGACTGTCACATGGTTTGATTGCATCTACATCATTAGTGATGTTTCTCATTGTTTTCGTCTCCTGTTTTTCATGTGTTTATATATACTGTATATTAAGCCTCTGCTCCCCCCGTACACAGGCATGTAAACCACGCCATCTGTTCCGAGCGGGTCTGACGTGGGGAAAGGAACTGTTACGTAATCGTCTAGGGACACGTCATCGTAAAATAATAACTGCATGTGTGACGTCACAACAAAGTCTTCTATACCGCACTCATTCTCTCCTCGCTGGATTTTAAAGAAACCATTTTCACCCCAGTTGTCTCCCCATGAGTTGGCACATCTCTGAAAAGCCACAGATTTTTTTTAAAACACTGGTTGGATGATATTTTGTTATGCGGGTTATGTATTTGAAAACTGAAGCATGCGAAGCCTGTTATTTGCTTTGCGTTTTGTTGTTAGTAGTTGCTGAGGTAGCTGCCGAGATTTTATTTGAGTCACTAACCGTCACTCTCATGAACATAATTAGGTACATTTCATATAATAATCAGCCATATAAGCGATCGAGTTGATGGCAATACACATGGTTAGAGAGTATATATTTTAACACGAATGAGCAACGCATCATGATTTGCTGTTAGCAATCTCTAAAACCCAGAAATACTATGACCTAATGTTTAGCAGTTGTGAAACTACAGCGCATTCGAACAGGTGTTAATAAACATAAAATATTTATGCACTGCTAAACAAGTATGCATACCTTATACGGCTGGTAAAGCCTAACCTTGTGAAAATCTTTTGGCCCACCTCAACGATGTACCACAGAATATATCATAAATAAGGACTTACACCGATATCAGTGACATGTAAACAAAGTGTATCGAACCATTAGAAAGGGCATTGATGTGTTTTATATTTCAATGTTAAAAAGAACTGCTAATGAATTCAATAGACGTTGTAAACATTCTGCATATTCTATGAAATTCTAATAAAAATGTACTACTCAAAGTAAATCTTCAAGGAGGAATTCTAATGTCTCTAACCATTGTTTATAAAAATATGAATTGAAAATTTTCAATATCAGTACGGACTCATGAAAATCTGGGATAGAAATCATCACTTTTTACCTATATCACAACTCCCGAGAGTAGGACGGACGAACAGATTTAATTCCAAGAACACTTCACCACTAAAGTTCAGTATCAGTTTTGTATTTCTTATATCAATAGGGTAAACTTTGTTTTTTTTATTCTCTCCACAATAACTCAGTAATGTCTATTTTGTTCAACATCAGACATCTATAAAAATGTAATCAATGCGGAGACGACAAGCCATTAAACTTTTATTGCACGTTAATAAGCTTGAACACATGTTGACATACATAATGTTAAATGTACATACGATCCTATGACTACTTGTCTACAGCACGATATAAACACAAACAAACGTAAATAGTAAATATTGATGCTTTCATCCATAACGGTTTGTCTCGAGTAGATGAAAAGTCAACATGACATCCTCGTTCTTCCCTGCATAGTGCAGTCAAGTGTGTCGTATTTTAAAGCAATTTTATGAGGAAATGTGACTGCAGATATTTTAAATGGTGAAAAGGCGATTTCAAATAACATTCCTTTTGTTGAATACCGCAATACAATTTTATTCCATCGGATAAGATTATATATATTAAATAATTATTCTTCTGAAACAATAATTTTATACATTTGTAATTAATTTTTTTAGAATAGATGGATTAGATTTCTTTTTCCCCGTCATTTTATCAATGAAACCAATATAATACGTGAATACCTTAAAAATATCTGAAGTCGATCTACCTTGGCCTTGACCAAGTCAACAACTAAGTCATGTGTTTAACTTTTAAAACATGCAAAAAAAAAAAAAAAAAAATCCACGAGGGATATGAATAAGTAAAATGTTGCGATGCGTAAGTGTAAATACAACAAAAAAAATATCAATATATGGGTCTCTAACTATTCAACCTGAGTCTATGATTCAGAAGATCACGTGACCTTTTAGACCGTTGTAGGCTATGGACAAATTCACAGAAATCTACAAGGACTATTGGGACTATTTGGTTATAGTTGTACTAAAATATTGAGGTAAATATCAAACAAGGTTCACCTTAATACGATATTCCTGTCATTTTTTTTATCCTGAACGTGGAGTCTATCACTTAGAGAAATACACTGGACAACACTGAAGAAACACTATGTGTGTGAGGTATGGGTTTATAATATACAGTATATATATATATATACATTGAGGTGACATGTTATGAGGTATAATGATATACATTTGTTACTACTTCATCCGAAACATAGCAAATAAAAAACATACAATTATCGGCCAATACTTCTACCATAGGCATGAGGTAACCAATGTGGCGTTTGTATTATGGTGACTACAAACAACACAGGACTATTACTGAGTGGCGAGGTTTACACGAAAATGAAATAAATAATCTGAAAAACGGGTACTAGACTGACAACATAACGCAAAATCTTCGTAAGAATAATTAATAATTAAAATTCATAAACAACAGAGATTTGTAAGAATATGAACAGAATGTAACAGTCACACCTGAAATTAATCTGGGAAAATAAAAACATTTAAGCTACCCTGACAATAGATCACACGTACTGTTTTCGATACTGCTTCCACGTTGCCATATCTACATCTCTCCAGTGCGGAAGGACATTATCCCGATGGCCAGTATTATGATAGATCTATGGCGAAATTCTATTGACCTAAGGTTTAGGGTGGTCTTGTTGTTACGGGTCGTCTGCCCTTGATTCTGTAGTTAGTATAAACATTGTACAGACCGTCGTCACGAAGACCTCCTGGCGCTAGATTTACTCTCCTTCTACCCCAAACGCCTAGTACGAAAGTCTCAATACTCCTTTCATTTGTTCCTCTCATGATACGAAACAGGCCATGTTCTCCCCAATCAGTTCCCCACGAATTTATACACAGCTGAAAATTAGCACATTCACATATCCATTGTTAAAGAAGAAGGTTCGAAACCTCATAGATACGTCTAATGAGATCTAACTATGAAAAGAAATCGAAACAGCGACCGTATGATTCAGTCATACAAATTACATGCTTTTCAGTATTTAAAGATAGATAAAGGAACACAGATTTCAACAAAAGACATGCGCAGTGGAGAAGGAATGGTGCAAGGGGCATGCAAAGAGCAAGAAAAATGACAATTGCAATCACAACAACTAGGAGCTCTCTTACCACAGAAATGGGCTCTAACCATCGAAAGGAAATCTCTAACCACAGAAAGGAGCTCTCTAACCACGGAAATGAGCTTTCTTACCACAGAAAAGAGCTCTCTTACCACAGAAAGGAGCTCTCTAACCACATAAAGGAGCTCTCTTACCACAGAAAGGAGCTCTCTTACCACAGAAAAGAGCTCTCTTACCACAGAAAAGAGCTCTCTTACCACAGAAAGGAGCTCTCTAACCACAGAAAGGAGCTCTCTTAAAACAGAAAGGAGCTCTCTAACCACAGAAAGGAGCCCTATCTACACAGGATGATATCTGCACAGTAGAATCGGCCACTTAAGCTAGCAGCAGTCGATTTCTAGACCTGGTAAGAACGTTCTACCGCAGGCAAATGAATTTCTCTACTTCTAGAGGGTTGTAATACAAGCAAAGACTGAGGAAAGCGGCGTGTCTCTATTCCAAACAAGGAATGTACCGTGGAGAACATCACTTAATGATTTCTTATGGGTATGTGTCGTGGCGAACAAACACCTTCATAACGTATACAAAGGTTGGTTTTTAGAAATAAAATACTGCTGGAAAAATAAGCCATGTAAAGAATATGCTTTGGCATATTTTCAGTAGATATTTTATATCACATATGGGGATCATGCGTCATCTGGAGCGTCAAAACGATCTTTTTTACCACAATGCATTATCTCCCTTGAATTGCCCTATTTACTTTACAACGACATATTTCATTTATTATCTCCCCTGAATTATGCAATAAACTTTACAACGACTCATTACAGAGAATTAGCTCCCCTGAATTATCCTTTAAACTTTACAACGACTCAGTACAATGAATTATCTCCCCTGAATTGTCCTTTAAACATTGTAACGACTCATTAAAATGAATTATCTCCCCGAAACGAATCTTAACAGTGACAATGTTTAAATGAGAAAGAATATCATCGTAAACAGTTGTAAAATATCTGCATATAGTAAGATTTACATTAAATAATAATAACAATACACTTTACTGAATAGATTACAAAAGTAATGAATGATACAAGGTACTAAATAGGATGAAAACGACATGCGTCGTGGTTTTGATTTTCGCTGTATATATAAGTAGGTACAAAACGAGTTTATATATACAATAGGAACAACATATGACTACATAAGATACGATATATGTTAAATATATATGTAATAGATATTAAGTGTATTACATGTACAATCACATGTGCAGCAAACATATATCCAGTAGGTTCTCCTTCATGTGTGCAGTCGATATTAATATGTTTTATATAAAGCAGTTTGTATATACATCTCGATACAAAATTTGTTTATAAATTGGTAGATAGCAAATGTGTTTATGTTCATACTAGCGTGTATGAATGATACATAACTATTGTATGTATCAATGGTTGATATAAGCCGCAATATATGCTGCTCGACTGAAGAGAGCATTTCTCGAGCGAGACCCGATGGGCGTCAGCTAGTTAGCCAGACGTTACTGTTCGAATCTTAGCGGAGGCATTGAAATAATGAATGATCTCGGTTACAGATGTTTTATCAACCATATCTAGTATGTACATGGATGCAGTATATAAGGACACGTTGGAACCGGTAGGCACGTTGGAACCGGTAGACTCATTGGAACCGGAAGGCACATTGGACCCGATCGATACACTGGAACCGGTAGGCACATTGGAACCGGTAGACTCATTGGAACCGGTATACTCATTGGAACCGGTAGACACATTGGAACCGGTATACTCATTGGAACCGGTAGGCACGTTGGAACCGGTATACTCATTGGAACCGATAGGCACATTGGAACCGCTAGACTCATTGGAACCGGTAGGTATATTGGAACTGGTAGGTATATTCGAACCGGTATTTAATTTGAAAATGTGGTTTAAAAGCATACATTGGTAGAAATCTGTTGGTAATTAGTTGGATGTTTTCATGTTTCGTACTTCACATATCTAATATAAATCCGTACGAATGATAAACCAGTCTGACTTCTGTCTGATTAATCAGGTCAGCACTTTCTATACATACATCTCCGACGTCTTCCCCTTAGATGGTTAATAGGCCCGATTGTTCGAAGTTGACTCGGCAGCAGGCCTGGCTCAGATGGAATTTCCAGATATACGCCTGAGCGTGCACTAGGAGGAACAACTCTTTGAAATGAAGGACTACTCCAACAGGATGCAATAACGAACTCTTCCACCGAGCATTCATTGACCCCACGCCTGACCCGGAAGTAACCATTGTCGCCCCAAAGATGTCCCCAAGAGTTTGCACAAAGCTGAAACCGCCCACAGATTGAACATATAAGCTCTGGTATAATGATGCCATTTTGAAAGTAGTATTCATAAGCACCGTTACAGCACAAACCAGCACCAGATACAAAATATAAAGCTACGTATTTTGCAATTTGTTTGGTACAACAAAAGCCGAGCGGTTCGTTTTGATAGTTTTATTACTGGCAAGTCTTTCGTAACAACAACACAAGAAGAATAAAAAACAACAAACTGACTATACATTTAGAACCATTAAAACAATCCTTCATTTTTCACTAAAATTCCGGACTTGAATAAATTGTATCGCTTGTGTTGTTGCTACTCTTGCAGCTGGTTTGGTTAGCATGCTATAATTTTGATTCTATTATTTTCCAAAACCAGCCAATCATTTTATGCTTAAAAAATAAGATCAATCCCTATTTTCCACAGACATGATATGATAGTATAACAAGTATAGCAGAGGTAAGCATATCATTGCTCTGTGATTCCCTGTATGTACAAGCAATCTTACGACCAATTGGAATATATCAACAAGGTCCTCTACTTTTGCCAATTAATGTTTTCAGCCTGGCAATATACATTTCCTTGTCCAGTCTAGTAGGCATCAGTTATGCTATGAGGTCAGAATATATCACCATACTTTCAACAAGGATTCAGTATGGTTTATGGTATATTAAAAGTACATTCCACTTGTACGAGACCATCGGCAATGGTGTATCGGCGATAGTAGGTTATTCAGAACGAGGCTGTGAAGGTCTTATGAAATGTACTTAATTACATCTGTCTATACTGTTTTATCAGGTTGAAGCGTTTTCTATGGGCAAAAACATATTTCTAAATACAGCTGGTGCATTTCTGTGGACCACAAACGTGAGTTAAAACTAAGAGCTATGCATCTATCGCTCACAAAAAAAACATCACGATAAGATTGGAAAGCGCATATGTAACTGATTAGCATTAACGATGTATAAATGTTTAGTGCATTCTGGCAAATATAGAATATATTTTACAAACAACGGAAATTCGCCCTCGAACCAATCTGATTCAAACCAGTTGAAACATTTTTTTTAAATTGATCAATTTGATGACGTGATGATCAATTTCAAGTATACCCTGATGCCGTTTATGTATTCTGATTGTGTCAAATTTACATCAGATTCGCAACAAAATGTCCCATCTTTAACATGTCGTTTAGTTCTAGGTCATTATACGTGTGTGTTTGTTTACTCAGAAACAACTCCCTGCCTGTTGAAATTGGTTTGGGGTCAGCATAATCTGTCATGACTCAAATGTAAGGGGACAATGATATTATTGTCACGCCCTTCCCTGTATGGTATATATTGTAGTAGTCAACCCGAGACTAAATTAACAACAGATTCTATTTTGGTTTGAACAAGGTTCTAGGTCCAATTCCTACTATCTGTAGAATAGATCCTTTATACGTATAGAAGTGAAATCATTCATTCACATGGAGATTGTATGGCATGCAGTATAACCCGCCCACAAGGTGCACAGCAATGCACAATGGGACAACGTCAACATCGAAAGCTACAGAGCGTTTAGCGAAGCATAGCAAAGCAAGGCAACAGTCTGGATAGAAGGAAAGTGAACATACATGTATGCAATGCAGCAGTCAAACCATTCAAGATAACTATGTAAAGTTTACGAAAATATCAACAGATGAATGTAGAAAAATATGAGATATAACGATCGGCTTTAAATTGGCATTTATCGACCTTCACGAAGTTTTAGAACTACAACACAACAAAAATCTCAAAAGGACAACTTGTTTATACTCTCCGAGTTAAACGGCAGTCGTCGATCGTTGTACCTCGTTCTACAGAATTATATGTATGTAAGCTATTCACTGGCAAAACGGTCATGCAAAGAAGGGTTCCATACATATGTCTCACATTCAAATAAAAAAGCAATAATACTCTGAAAACCTATATAAAAAGGTTGCATTAATTTCATGGCAGTTAACCAATTGCTTGTAAAAACATATATTGATCTTTGCTATAAATTATTCAATTATCATCAACAAGTATGAATTATTTGATGTAATATGGATAAAAAATGAAATACTGCTTTTCACGATTCACTAAGAAATGTTCCGTCGTTTTTAGCACAATTAATATTTTTTATAACATTGGGTAAAAATGCCCAAATATATATAATCAAGGTTTCCATACAAAGACCAAATGATACTTACCCAATACTTGACGGATGTATTACTGGTGGTGTCTGTCTCTATACCCCATCTGTAGGACAAAGACGATAAACACATTGTCTGAATATTGCCAGCGTGTTAACAAGTAAACATTAGACGGCAGACAATGCCAGTCAGTTAGTTTAATAATAACTACGATTTCTTCGTGTATTAAAAAAATATGTAAACGTCGTATATTTATCTTTCAATATCTTTTTTAACAAAGGTATGTTATAGACAAGGACCTTAGCAGTTTAATTAAAACCATCATAAGAAACCAGAATTATTAACAAGAAAAAAAATGCAAATTGTAAGTTTGCAAATGAAACGATGAGATTGAGGTTGACTATAAATGTCTAATAGATATCATATTGACATACCCTATTATCCTGACAGAGTGATATCCCCTGTCATCGTCGTCCGGAAGTAAGTCCGGAATCGTGTTCGTGTATTGGTATATACCGGACTGATACATAAAGAAATCTTCCTTTACTCTCATTATAGCTGTAAAACAAATCAGTTTTAGTTCACCAGTTTAAACCATAATAGAAATATCTTTTAAGATAAAGAATGTGAACTGAAGAAAAAGGCAAAGATAAAATAAGACGGTTTGAAGATTTTTGTCACTAAACAAACGATAAATCTACTTAGGATACTCCAAGAAAGACAGCAAAATGCCATACATTACTTACACATAGATCCTTCTTCCTAAAACATACTAGTATATTGTAAGATAAAATACTATCATTTAGACTTATTATTTTCGAAAACACATGGACGAATAGCGCTTGTTCAAGGAATGTCAGAGCAAAACGTTATATGAAGATCACCCTACCTTTTCATGTTCTCGTGAAATGTTAAGTCTACCAAGACGTACCATGGTTGACTTATTTCTATTTTTAGAAAGTATCGTAAGGGTAAAAGGGAATGATAACAGGAATAAGTTTACACTGGGTACCACGTATTCCAGATTAATGAGGGAATCAATTGGGCTGATTCGATATTGACGTTGTTCTTTAAGGCCTGTTCAAGTCCCGTTTTGATTTTGTAATTATGAAGTTATGTTAATTATGGTATAAAGTAAGAAAACACGATAAACATTAATTCTACATACAGTACGTGAAGTTTTCATGTCCTACCTTGTACTGGCCCATTCTTGTATATTTCATTCATGATATCCCTTTCCTGTAAAGAACATCAGCCATGATAATACAATAACTAATGAGTTTCTAACAAATTGATACCGTAATAAAATCGATACCCTAAACAGATCGTAACCGTAAACAGATCGATACCGTAAACAAATCGATACCGTAAACAAATCGATACCCTAAACAGATCGATACTGTAAACAGGTCGATACCGTAAACAGATCGATACCGTACACAAATTGATACCCTAAACAAATCGATACCGTAAACAAATTGATACCCTAAACAGATCGATACCGTAAACAGATCGATACCGTAAACAAATCGATACCGTAAACAGATCAATACCGTAAACAAATCGATACCGTAAACAAATTGATACCCTAAACAGGTCGATACCGTAAACAAATCGATACCCTAAACAGATCGATACCTAAACAGATCGATACTGTAAACAGGTCGATACCGTAAACAAATTGATACCGTAAACAAATCGATACCGTAAACAAATTGATACCGTAAACAAATCGATACCGTAAACAAATCGATACCCTAAACAAATCGATACCGTAAACAGATCAATACCGTAAACAAATCGATACCGTAAACAAATCGATACCCTAAACAGATCGATACCTAAACAGATCGATACTGTAAACAGGTCGATACCGTAAACAAATTGATACCGTAAACAAATCGATACCGTAAACAAATTGATACCGTAAACAAATCGATACCGTAAACAAATCGATACCCTAAACAGATCGATACCGTAAACAAATTGATACCCTAAACAGATCGATACCGTAAACAAATTGACGGAAAAGGTGTCCGTTAAATACACCAATGTTTTTTCAGTGCAGTTGGAGTGTGGGCGTTCAGAATGAATCACGCGCGTAGACATACAATATGTACACGTAAACTGATACTAATTTAATGTTTAATGTATTGTAATATAAAGAAGGATAACGAGTTCTCTTCCATAACAAAAAGACAAACCAAAGGCTCTCTACCAGTCATTCAGCATGAGTGACCAGTGCGGAATAGCTTGTCCTTTATCAGTATAACTTTGGTTAACAGTGTTCAGGTTGTTGTAAAATCATTAGTATCGTGGGCTATTAATTTTTGTTTTTGTAATATGAAGGTACACAAATATACTGTATCCACGAAATTATCTGCCCACGTAATAGTCATTTTTTAAAAAGAAAGACGACGGGAATTTTAGCCCGATAAAACAATGTGATATTACAGTATGTATAAGTATTTGGTACATAGAAACATAGATCTTAATATGAGCTTAGTTATTGCGTTACCGATCTCTCTCATTAGTAGATAGATGATAATGAAGACAGGAAGGTTAAAGGTCATTCAAGACTCACGTCGTCAGATATTCGGTACGGTGGTGTGGAGTAGAGAATCCGACCCGTACTATTGGCTTGCCCGTTTGGACATGGTGCTGTATTAGCATCTTTTTTGTTCCTCAGCATACACATTCCAGCCTCGTTATCGCTACCGCTGACATATGGATAACAATCCTCAGATACTATCCTGAACAGCATGCAGAAAGATTGATTAGAAACTGGTGGAAAGTCTGAAATTATGTCTGGGATTACATCACATTTAAATATCAGATTTCACCATTTCTACAACTATGCAAATAGCAAATATTTTTGATGACGAGATCATATAGCAACGTAAGGCGTTTATATACTCGTGTACGAAAAGTGACCAGATTACTGAATGTTGAATAAGCGCTATGATATGTAAATTGAAGAACTGTTAAAGAGATATTTTGCAAATTGCTTCTAGTTTATTTAAATCAATAAGTGTAAATATTAACCCTTTCTTGCGAAGAAACCACCATGCTTTATCAAGATATCCGCCTTCACAACCAAGCTGCCCTCTGGCGGTATTACAAGAAAGTAGATGTTGCGGAGATAACTCCTCCTGAAGAATTCCGTCTGATTCTATAGCCAATCGGTCAGAAGCAGTTGCTAAAATAGCCAGAATAGTAACAGTTCATGCTACGATAGGTCACTAATGAAAAAATAACGAAAATGGGGTCTTTCAGCAAAAGCCAACCCCGTTACACCCTATGGTACAAGAAAGTCATATTAAAAAAACTGATAGATCAGGTGAAAGATATCAGTAAGTACCTTGTTCATAACATAGTTTACTAAATTTAGCTTTCACTTACAAAGAAACAGTTTAAATGTCTTACCTACTGTGGAAAACGCCCATGATGCTCCACAGTTGCCCTGGTCGCGAATGGGATGTATCCGACCTGGCCACTGTATTCTGGAATCGAAATCGTCCGGAAGGTAAGTGTTGGTATAACCTCTGACAGGCTTCATGTTCCTGACGTCTGCGTCAGGCGGAATGGTCCCCAGTCTGTATCGGATACCCTCGTCAAGGGTCATGCCCCAAAAAGCGGAGTAGTTTCCAGCGCGCCATCTATTGGCAGTTACAAAAAAACTCGTTATGGCAACAACAGAGATCGGCTCCACAATAAAAAAAGGGACGAAACATTCGAATTGAATCGAGTATTGATGGTCAGAGTCTAAAGTGCGTTATGTAAAACAGTTTAGATACACAGATAAATTGAAATTGTAAGTTTGTCTTGAAAGAAGAAGACATCTCTTGAAAGACCGAGGGTCAAAAATCTTTCAACTCAGAAAGTGGTCAACTTAGAGCAATTTATGAACAGGGAAATATTTACACGAATGAACAGGGAAATATTTACACGAATAAACATTTTGTTTTTGTCGGGTATATACGATTGATACAGTCAACGAATGGTGCAAATATGAATAGATTTATCATTTCAAAGCTCTCTTTTCTAGTTTCTTTAGCTAGAACTGTTCATCTTGTGAGTCGTCATACCAATGACCGATGTCCTATCATGTTACCATTTATAACAGAGTTGGAATGCAGACAGCGAATAGGGGTAGGCATGGTCTAATATTCTTAACAATTATGTCCGAAAATTCAGTATTACAGTGCAGGAAACATCGTTATCAAGAGAATGTCTCACGTGATGCACTTAGTCGATGTCAATGTCGGGGTAAGTACCTAATTAGCGAAGTCATGCTTGAGTAAACCACGGGAAAAACGACTTAATGAGGACCATAAATTTCGAGATCAACGTTAGGAAATAATCTGGTTAGATAGATGATGTCTCGTACACATGAAACGAAAATTACTTAGTTAGGATCATCAATTTTGACATCAAGGTCAGGAAAAAATCTGGTTATGACTTGGTTAGGACCATAATACCTGGTTAGAAAGACGATGACTGGTATACAGAACAGGAACATGACTTAGTTTGAAACATAATACATGGGTAGGGAAATTATGCCTGATGCAGACGACAAGAAAATTTTAACCGGTTCGGAAATCTATTTAATACAGAAATGTCATAAGACGAATTTGAACTGATAAGATGGTTTACTCTGGTTATAAGCTGCATTAACGGTGTCACATGTAAACTATCGGACTATGAAGTAAATGGAATGTGACCTTTAATTGTTTGTTTACTTATCACAACGCGGTGTGTAACAGACATGTTTGGGTGTAACAGAGGACAGGGCACACATGGGACAATGTGTACGCTGTGACGTTGCAACCTAGTTATTGTAAGTGTGGCTTACCCACTATCGTGGCTGTTGACCTGACCGATCAACTTGGTTTGTATGAGACAAACATGTTTCGTACAGTTCCATCTCTGCTGGTTCTGGAACGCTGGGTCCACAATACAAGTGCTGGGAATAAACTCATATTGTCAATGACCAACTGTTAATGTTTCACATATAATTACTATATATATATACACACACACATAATATACTAAACTTGAATAAACTGGCGTACCCTTTGGGAACTTATTTTAGGTTGCTTTAACTATGCCCGGCAAGACAACTCTTATACCAAACTTTCAAATTTTCTGAATCTGTTTGCTCATTATCTCAGGTAAATATTTTCACCTGTGTTGTATAGTCTCTGGCAGAAACTTACAACCCCCAATGATTGTATTTATCAATCAAGATGCATGTCAATTGTGATAGCGCATGCGGGATGTTAGCTTTAATTCCTGAATTTTACATAAACATGGTTTAAATGTGAGGAGACATGCAAGATATTTAAATGTAATGTTACATGTTAGCGCACCAAGAATTATGTAGTTGCCCGATGTAAATACGCTCTGATGCAGAACGGGGCAATTGATTTTACCTATATCAGGAGCGACCAATAAACAGAACTGGACCTTACCAGGAGTTACAGTTTTCTGTGATGACGTAGTTGATGGGATACTCTTGACCAGCACGCTGACATCCACCTGTACAATATATAAGAAAAAGCTCAATTGTTTCAGTATAAATGGCTAGATATTTGAAAGTTAAAAAATGTAATTTTAAGCAGTAGAAATTTGATATGATTAAATTGCAATTTTTAAGATGTATTTTATCAGTAAGATACAGTGAGTATACTTATTTAGGCTAATTACAAAACTAATTAAAGAGAAAATTCTGTGTTGCTCTTAAACGAAAACAAGTGCATGTACTTCAATCATATGTGAACGAACGTGAGAATGGCAATATATTTTATATCATATTTATGGATGATAAAATATAAAAAAATATATATAAATTTTGTGTCTTTAAAGTTTTAATGACTATCAAATTTAAAACTAGAGATAAATATAGATACAAAAGGAGGGCGGAAAGGTGAGACAGCTGTCATATACTATCACATCACCTTCATCATCACGACGATGAAAACATCTACTAGACGACATTCCTTACTGACACGTGTGTATTGTGTACTGTATCAACTATGTAATTTCCCTGTGGGTAATATACAAGGTAAAAAGTGCTGCTTTTTAGATTTATGATAATCGCAGTAAACTATGTCAGCATTGCTTTTGTGTGATACAGCATAAACGGTTACAATGGCTATCAAGTGGATCTCTACACGGCAGGAGATGTAGGTTAGATGTACACCCAGACTACGGTTAGGTGGGCACTGGTGTCTGTTCATCTCAATATAGGCAAGGCGTCACAGACAAAATCAAAATTGTTCGAAATTATATTACATATATTTCTATTGATTCAAGAGACTGCAAGTTGGATGAATTACACCACTCGCCGCCTCAGCGAGGTGAACCCATTCACCAAATCTGAAGTTCCAGTGACTTATAATGTAGGAGAACGAGCCAAGAAAAAAGGTCAAAGGTCAAAATGTAGGTCAGGGTGACCTACTTTTGACACATGCCCAAAGTACGAAGTACAGGTGATAAGTGGTGTTGGAGATAGACCACGGCAGAAAATTTTATGTAGCCTTTCGCTGGGATTCAGAATGATTTTATCATGCAAATTCTAAAAAGAAATGGTACATAGCCTCGTTTCCAAATATAGAATTATGTTCCCTGTAGCTGAGAATGAATACATTCTGTGTTGACCTTTGACATTTAGGTGATGGTCTTCCAATTTATTGGTATCATATTTTAGCAACTATAGGTTTAATTATTCAAATATTGTCGCTGAATCAGCGTCTTCGTGCAAACATTTGCAGCTGGCACATGGAGATTGGCGGATATCCTGGAATTATAGCGACGAGCAGGTGTATTTTTTGGGATTTTAAAAACAGTTACGATAAAAATATACGGTTCTTGCAAACTTTGTCGCTGGTCGTCTCTATGTTAAAAACATTTGTTAGCCATGCATTTATTACATAACTTAGGTAATAAAGTCGTATCTTTACAAGCAGTCAAATACTACTTCTCGTGATATAAACAGTGGTTACACAACGTATGGTTGTGGTATGTGATATTTCTTTCACTCCAGTTACCAAACACACGAGCTTTAGAAAGTGTTTTATAACTTTTGGGAACATAACTCACGAGAGTGAAACTATACCATATACCCCGACCACGAGTTTGTGTCACCTGTTTCTACGACAATAAAAAAACTATTACGAAGTTTAATGGACCCATGAATACGTGTGGTTTGTTTACCTCATCAATTGGGGCGCAGTAATATGATCTTTAGTGAAATGCTGCTAATTCATATTCAAAACTGACAGTTTCAGAAACATATCGAAATATTGCAACTCATTACAAATTACAACGAGAAACGATTTACTTTGAATCTTCAAGAAAAATCTAATTGTTACAAAAATTATTGAGAACTATATCTTGCTAGTTTTAATCTGCATGAGTGCGTGAAGCGTCCTATTCGGTCAAAATTCATCCTGTTAGCCAATCAAAACATGCTTACTGTTACATCACACGCGGTACAGCTTACATGTTTGTGTAACAGTCTGAATGATTAATTGATGCCTTGGGAGTTGAATAATGCCTACCTTATGTGACAGAAACATATACCCGTTATGTTAATGTCACGTTATGTTAATAACACGAGATATCTTCTTGTCATGTAAACCTCTGTGTCCCTGTGTGGAGGAGAATACTTGACGGGTGCTCTTGTACCCGTGTAAATAAACTCCACATTCTATAATATCTACCTGAGAATGAGATGAAAGTAACAGGAGACAGTGTCTAGACGAGTGGAAAACGCGAGACATCATTAAATTCCGGGAATAATCACCCGGACTCCATACCGCTTGTACCAACTTTATTGGCTTAAGATAACACCTCCGATCACATTGTCATATATTGTAGTACAATCGCATGTCTAGACTACATTATCACATATCATCGGACATTTTCTAAAAATCATCGGTCGCAGCATCAGACATTCTCCGTTTAAGTATATCTCACCTGATATTTCCTTAAAAATCATCTCTCACATCTGACATTCTCTATATAATCATCTCTCATCAGACATTCTCTATATAATCATCTCTCATCAGACATTCTCTATATAATCATCTCTCCTTAGACATCCTCTATATAATCATCTCTCATCAGACATCCTCTATATAACCTTCTCTCCTCAGACATTCTCTATATAACCATCTCTCATCAGATATTCTCTATTTAATCATCTCTCATCTGACACTCTCTATATAATCATCTCTCATCAGACATTCTCTATACAATCATCTCTCATCAGACATCCTCTATATAATCATCTCTCATCAGACATCCTCTATATAATCATCTCTCCTCAGACATCCTCTATATAATCATCTCTCATCAGACATCCTCTATATAATCATCTCTCCTCAGACATTCTCTATATAACCATCTCTCAGACATTCTCTATACAATCATCTCTCATCAGACATCCTCTATATAATCATCTCTCATCAGACATCCTCTATATAATCATCTCTCATCAGACATCCTCTATATAATCATCTCTCATCAGACATCCTCTATATTACCATCTCTCACCAGGCATCCCCTATATAATCATCTCTCCTTAGACATCCTCTGTATTACCATCTCTCCTCAGACATTCTCTATGTTATCATCCCTCCTCAGACATTCTTTATATAATCATCTCTCATCAGACATCCCCTATATAATCATCTCTCCTTAGACATCCTCTATATTACCATCTCTCCTCAGACATTCTCTATATAACCATCTCTCAGACATCTTCTATATAATCATCTCTCACATCTGACATTCTCTATATAATCATCTCATCAGACATTCTCTATATAATCATCTCATCAGACATTCTCTATACAATCATCTCTCATCATACATCCTCTATATAATCATCTCTCCTCAGACATCCTCTATATAATAATCTCTCATCAGACATCCTCTATATAGGCATCTCTCATCTGACATTCTCTATATAATTATCTCTCATCAGACATTCTCTATATAATCATCTCATCAGACATTCTCTATACCTCTCATATACATATATAATCTCTCTCCTCAGACATCCTCTATATAATAATCTCTCATCAGACATCCTCTATATAGGCATCTCTCATCTGACATTCTCTATATAATTATCTCTCATCAGACATCCTCTATTAGTCATCTCTCATCTTGCGTCCTCTCCATCATCATCTGTCACCAGACATTTTCTATTTACTACGTGTGAAGTCTTGCAGACTGAGGACATTATGGTGATAACATCAAAAAAGGTATGTTTAAGATGGTTACATATTACTGTGGTGTGATAAGAACCGTTAGGAGGTCTATAAATATGTATGACGGCGTGTGTTAATTCACATCACGGTCTCGGGTTACAGTTTGTATTCATTATGTAATGTAAGAGGTTTTGTAATGTTGATAAAGAAAGCTGTTTTCATATGTGACACAGAAAAAAAACCCCAGTTATTACAATATTTCTTGTACAATGCTATTAAATTTTAAGATTAGTCGCCGTCGAATACATAAACGCTGATGTGAACCTGTTTTTCACGTGCGTGAGTTTAAGTAGTATACATCTGTTTTTCTTTTTTGTCAAGTTCTGTAATAAACAGTATTTCAATTCCTAAATAGTAAAGCCTTTTCAGTCCATTTTCTCTTCTTCCCTGAAATGAATGTCATCCCTCCTGTGCGCATCCTGTCTCGAATCGATATGTTAGCATAAGTCGCTCATATACAACACCCAACGTTTTCTCATTCTTTTCTCTAATAACATTTTTTTTTCAATATTTTCATTCCCTAAAGTACCTATTCCTCCTTCACGTGTCATTTCATTCTCCGTTTCAACCATCGTTTGGAAATGTCTTTTTCTACTTTATCCTTTTCCTCCTCTACCCAATACGTCATCCAGCTCGCGACAAAATTCCCACTCCCCCAAATGAACGATGACGTCGAGCAGATAACCTTTAGTTTGACATAAGTGTCATAATATGGGTTGTGTAACTTATCATCAAGTATTACATGTTTGATAAACTCAACTCCACGCCTTCACCATCATCTGCTTTATTTCGAAAGTGAAGGTCCGTTTTTATGACTTCTTAACGCTGTCAATTTTAACATATCACAAACCATGATGAGTATGTTACCACATGAATGGGCTCATGTCTCAGAGTAATTTTGCTTATCAAACGAAAACACGAAAGCAACATCGCGGTAAAACGATTTTTTAAATTATTTTTTTTTTATCATTGCATATCTGTATCAAGTGTATCGCCTTAAGAACAATGACAGTTTTCACTGAAATATACACAGAAAGAAATTAATTAAAACTTCTAGAAAAAAAATCCTTATCTCTTGATCAACAGTCTGAATATGTTAATTTTTTGCGTCATATATGATAACGCATGCGCACAAAACCGTATCCTGTAAGCTAAAATGGCTATCTGTCTGAATCGGTCCCGAAAATGGCGATTAATGACATCTGGTTCGTAATTCAGAATTGAATTAGAGTTATAAAATAACATTTTCCATACCCA